TCTCGAACAAAAAAGCCTAACCTATTGTTTCCTATATTGTTCCATTTACAAGCCAAATATTTATTTGTTGAATTGAATGAAGGCTATCAGAGAACCTACTTGCTTTTGTTTATATAGCAATTGTTTTTAAATTTGGGGGCTATAGACTATAGATAATCTTTTAGATCAGGAACAAATCTTGTCCTAGAGAGGGTGAGTGAGTTAATGATGAGAAAAAGCACTCCAAGTTGCCAAAATTAATATTTAGAAAAGTGCACGAAGACTACTTTCCCAATGACTAAATAAAAATAAATACATCAAATGGTTTTCATAGTGGCCAACACAGGAGCGTCCAATTAAAATATTACAATGTGTCCACATGCAACAGCCATTTCATACTGCGTTTGAGGGGCTAGTAAACACTGCAATCTGAAAAAAAAAAAGCACCTTAAAAATACACTTCTCTCAAACTTACATATTCAAACAGCTCCAATTTCTGAATATGATACTTTCCTCCATAGGAATACAACTTTTTTGTTTTCTGCTAAATAACCTGAGCTTACCAAATGTCTTGATTTGATTTTCTAACTTAGAATTACCTAACTAAAAATTTAAGTTCTGACATGTCGGACTAAAGAACAGCTGAAAATCCCATGTACTTTCGTTCGACCTACACGTGACTTTTGGTTTAATTCCTAGTCTGACACAGAATCTATGGATGCATATGAAGCATGAGTTAGTAAAAATTTACAACACTGGAATCGCATGCCTTGTTTTTAGGGATATTTTTTATAAAGCTTGTCTTCAGGGGACACTGTATAAGAATTTGTTCTTCTAAAAGAACTCAAAAGATCTTGTTAAATTCTGCTCCTTCTATATGATGGTTTTGTTGAAAATGTCCGTTGAAATCAAAGTCTAACAGAGTTTCTTGTCCCCTCCCCCGTTTTAAAAAGAAATCAAATACTTTACTGGGAAAACAGTCCCCTCCTTTATGGGTTAATGCTGTGACTTTTTTTTTTTTTTAAAGATTCTTAAAATTTATTTATTTGAGAGAGAGAGAGAGAGCATGAGAGAGGGGAGGGTCGGGAGGGTCAGAGGGAGAAGCAGACTCCCTGCCGAGCAGGGAGCCCGATGCGGGACTCGATCCCGGGACTCCAGGATCATGACCTGAGCCAAAGGCAGTCGCTTAACCGACTGAGCCACCCAGGTGCCCTGTGACTATTTCTGTATCACGTTTCCACCCTGTCCCTTGCAAACATAAACAAAAACTTGCAGGGAATCAAGCGGAGGATCAAAAGTCCGCCACTCAGCAGGAAGCTGTTTGTCTTGGGCAGGTGGGCCGCTAGGGGCCCTGGCGGTCCACCACAGCGACCCGGGCAAAAACCCCTGTCTTCAGCGGCTATCGGACAGGGCCCAGTCCAGAACAGAGTCAGAAAATTCAAGTATGTAATAGCTTTGAAAACTAATGCTCAGATTTTCTCTCCACGAGGGTGTAAAAACTGGTTGTGAAGATCATTACTTTAGTTAGTGACAGACTTCTGTAGGTGCCTACGACTAGTATCAGAGAAAGGAAATGACATCAGTGACATTCATCTGGCAAACGTTCGCTACCTGGTTTCGGTCTGACCAGTTTGTTCTCTAGCTAGAAGAGCTGAGAACCCTGCGCTCTCCATTTCAGGAATTTCCATTATCAACCCCTGGGAAAATGGCATCAGCAATGCTGCCAACACAATTCAAGCCACAGTCTTGCTTAAACGAGCGCTATGTTTTAAATGACGGAAGAAAGATTTCTTGCTTATCAACTTACTGCATGTCGAGGAATCCATTTCCGAAACGTCATCTAATTGTGAGGTCCGAGGCGCACCGCTTGAGGCGACCTGTCCGTTTGGGTAGCTGGGCACTGCTGTTACACAAGCGAGGAGATACAGACGGTGTTTGGGAGTGAGTGGAAGCCATTGTGCATTCCAAACAGTCCCTAAGAAATGCCAACTGCCACAGATGAAAAGCCCCCACTTCTGTTCTGAGAGCTGAAGTTTTGGTGACATGTTTTAAAAACACCTTTAGCCAAGACAAAAAGCCGACCAACCAACCACTCAAAAATAGAGATGTTAGGAGAGAGATCCCAAATATTTCTTGGACAAGATTATGAAATGTGATGAGCAAGCCTTCCCTGAGAACTCCCCAGAGCCCACCCTTGGCAGCTTCCACCGGGTGGGGCCTAATCGCGGCAACAGAGAGCATGTGACAACCAGCGAGAGGCAGGCTCTCCCCTGAAACCTTCCAGAACAGCGAGCGGAGCAGGGTTCCGGCACCAACCTGGTGCCTCCCCCCGTTTCTTGGTCAATTACTCACCTCAAAAGTTATACTGGCCCCTCGGCCGTGTTTTCACTGTTCCCCAACTCTTACACTTTTTCAGTAAGACACCAAGGTCTTTTTTTTTTTTTTAATTTTTCAGGCAAGTGTCATGACTGTCCCTTTCTACTCCCATCACTAGGGTCCAAGCCGCTAAGAACCAGGCCCAGACTGTCTGAGTTACACTGACTCATTAAGATGCCTGCCTTTTACCTGGTCTCAAGGGCTGTAGCTAATGGTTTTAACTCACAGTTTTGGCTCAATGAGTCATTAAGACTATTTGGGGCTGATTACCAAATGACTCACTTGAACTGGCGTGGGGGAAATGGGATGTGAGAGTCATCCTCAAATATGTGAAGGGCTGTCATGTGGCAGAGGCAGTAGATGTAATCTGCATTTGCGCCTAAGAACTGTTTCCAATGAGGGAATTTACAAAAAAAAAAAGGCATATTCAATTTTACACAAGGAGACATAGCTTGTAAATAAAATACTGGCAGAAATGGAATTGGGTAGTGAGCTCGCCAGCTCCATGATATTCTGGCAGAAGCTGGATACCCACCATTCACTACTGCACCAATGATTTGCACAGATCCTGGCTCCTCCAGATCCTTTCATATCTGAGACCTCTCTGGCCCTTGTCTCTCCTCTGTCCTCCAAGAGCCATACTGGCCCGGGGTGTTTCCTTCCTCTTCCTGAAGGGCCGTGGTGTAAACACCACCTCTGTCCCGGCACTGAATGGTCCCCTCTGCCGACAGCCATGCTTCAAACATTGGCTGAGCAGACTCACCTATGAACGTTTAAAACAAAAATCCAGCTTCCTAGCTTCTATCCTAGATCTACCAAATTAAATCACTGTTGGTGAGGTCCTTAAGAGGGTTTTTTTTTTTTTTTTTAAGATTTTATTATTTATTTGACAGAGAGAGAGAGATCACAAGTAGGCAGACAGGCAAGCAGAGGGAGAGGGAGAAGCAGGCTCCCAGCTGAGCAGGGAGCCCGATGTGGGGCTCGATCCCAGGACCCTGGGACCATGACCTGAGCCGAAGGCAGACGCTTAACGACTGAGCCACCCAGGCGCCCCAGTTTGTTTTTTTTTAAATCTGCAATTTACAAAAAACTACTAAATGCTAACGGGAACACATTTGAACACATAAAGAATAAAGCAAAAACTCCACCTTATGGTTAGGGTTAGGGCCAAGAGGAATGGCAGGTCCAATCTGCTGGCACTGTGGTGAGCTTCCCAAGAGTTTGATTTGAGAGCGTGGGTCAAGGGAGTGTCAGGCTCATGGTTTGCGCCCAAGGGGCTGGCAGAAAGTGGGGGTTCGCTGGAATGGGCATGCAGATTTCTACTGCACTCTATGGTTTCTGGAGTTCCAAATGGCTTGGTTTCCTTCTGGGTGGCAGGCTGAGTCCTCTGGCATTGCTCAGGTGTCCCCAATCCCTGGGGCTTTGGAGCCAGGCCTCTGGGGACAGACCCCTCAGAAGCCATGCTAGGGTTAGGGGTAAGACCTAGGGGCATGGCAGTCCTGATCTCCCGGCGCTGTGGCGAGCTTCCCAGCGTTCTGTGTTAAGGGCGTGCGGCATGCAAGTTCCCGCACAGGTTTTTGTACAGACTCGTTTCCGAATCTCCTGGGTACATACCTATGAGCGCAACTGCTGGGTCATACAGCCACTTTATGTTTGACCTTCTGAGAATCCTCCAGACTATTTCCCAAAGCGCCTGCCATTTCACACAAGCTCCAGCACCGTCCCCATTTCTCTCTGACCCTCGTCAACAGTCGCTGTGTTTGATTATAGTCACGCTAGTGGGTGTGAAATCGTATCTCATTCTGTTCTTGTATTTTTACTTTTCACATGTGGTTTTGGTTTGTATTGCCCTAGTGACTGATGGAGTTAAACGTCTTTTCTTGGTGTGTACTGTGGCCATTTGTATCTTCTTTGGAGAACTGTATATTCAAATCCTTTGCCCATTTAAAACTCTGCACTAATATTTTATAGGACATGGCTATTCAGCTACAATTTAAGTTTATGGACCACGGATTTCAGGGGCAGCAAGGGCCATTCACATTGTCCAGAAGGTCCTGTTTTCTAGAAAATAATAAGAATTTCCTCCTCACTGCTAATAAAGATTTGACACTAAGCAAAAATTTTATTTTTTTGAAGATTTATTTATTTGAGAGAGAGAGAGAGCATGAGTGTGGGGAGGGCAGAGGGAGAGGGAGAATCTCAAGCAGACTCCATGCTGAGCGCAGAGCCCAATGCAGAGCTGGATCCCAGGACCCTGAGATCATGACCTGAGCCGAAATCAAGAGTCAGACGCTTAACCGACAGAGCCACCCAGGTGCCCCCCACCCATTTAAAAAATTTTAAATAAATGAGCCGTCATTGGCAAGCTCTTCTCTGTTTCCTACTTCCTGGTGCCTCCATTCTGGGCCCTGAGTGACAAACAAATGCCAAGCGCCTCCAATCAAAATGCCATTTTCCTAATTACAGCTGATAATCTCCTAGTGTTAAGAGCAAGTGACTCCGATTTCATTTACACACCCTGATTAAGAAAGTGACAAATCCTTACACGTTTGCCTTTTGAAAAATGGATGATTATATTAACCAAATTATCTCTCGTTGGTGAAATTTAGGAAAGTTAAAAAAATTGAAGTAGCTCGGTGGGACGACCCCACGGAGGCAGAGGGGCCAGCATGCGGGAAGATGACTGATGACCGATGGGGAAGCTTCTGCAGTTTCTTCCTTTTTTCTATTTCTAAATCCACAGGTTCTCTAACAGCCTCAAGCATCGTTTCTTTCTAGAGGAGGGGTAAGTGCGAGAGGGTTAGGGACAGGTGGCAGCTCCACAGCTTACTCTCTCGTAAGCCAGCTGTAAATATTTGCTTTGTGCAAAGAGTGACAGTCCCCTCCCTCCTGCCCCAGGGGTGGGGGAGGGGGAATCCGGGACCTGAGTCTAAAGCACGAGAGCTACTGAAGAGTTTCAAAAGTAGGCATAATTAATGCAGATGCTTCTAACCTACATTTCTACTTTTCAAATGTGTGAATTACAGAAGTTACACCCACAGCGACATTATTCATAGAAGCCAAGAAGTGGACACAACCTCAATGCTCATCAACTGATGATGAATGAATAAATACAATGTGGAATACCTCCGAAACGGAATACTGGCAATAAAAAGGATGACATACTGATGCATGCTACAGCGTGGATGAACCTCAAAACATCATGCAAAGTGAAAGAAGTCAGACACAAAAGATCATAGAGTATGTGATTCCATTTATAAGAAGTTTCCTGAATAGACAAATCTATAGACACAGGAAGTTGATCTGTGGTGGCCAGGGGCTGGGAGGGAGTGAGGGGAAATGGGGAGTGACTGCAAATGGATACAAGGTTTATTATGGGGCACTAAAACCGTTCTAGAATTGATTACAGTGATGGTTGCACAACTCTGTGAATATATATATATATATTTTTTACATATGGCAATACCATAAAATTGTATACTTTAAATAGGTAAATCATGTGGTATGTGAATTATTTATCAGACTGTTGCTAAAAAAAGGTAATCCATATTTATTAAAAAAGACTAGAACAATACAAAATGTAGTAAAATAAAAGTTCATCGTAACTGCACTTGATTTTAGAATTCTAAGTAATTTAGGTTTTCAGCTGATGCCACTGAAAGTCTGGCACCAAAACCCAAGGGTTATAGTAAGTTTCCTTGTGCTACTTTACTATACTATTGTTTTGAGGACCAGCTATTGGCAAAGCACACATTTTTATCAAAATAAACTAGAAGCACTTTGGGAACAAATCATATTCTGATAGATTAAGAAGATAACAAGGACCATGGAACCATGGAATAAAACAGAACTCTACAGGATAGTTGAGAGTTTTCTTGATCAATCAGAGCTTTTTTTTTATTTTAAACAAAACAACCCCCCCCCCCTGCAAAAAAAAAAGTCCCAGCAACCAAAAAAAGGGTGACTAGTGATCACCTTTTAGCTGAGCACTAATTTGAATAAAGTATACCTCAGGGATTTATTCATGATAGCAGAGCACATGAAGTGCATAAGTCTGTAATATCATGAAGAGAAAGGCACTCATGGATACTCACCTTTACTATACAGATGTTCAGCATGTTCTAAAGCATCATTTATCTCTTTCTCTAGAAACCACTTTCTAGATGCATCTGCGAGAGCCAAAGCTTTCTTTTCTGATTTCAAATGAAAGTCTTTTTCTTTAGCTTCCTCCCACTATATGCAAATAAATGAAAGAAAAGAAAAATCACCTAAAAGTTGGGGTAATGTCGCTTCCGACAGTGGAGTAAGTCCCTTTTGTTTCCTCTACTCCACTTCCTTTGGGGTTCCCATGGCATGCAGGATCTGTTCGGTTTTCGGGTAATCTGAGTGCCTGTCTTTGACCTTGAGGGCAGAGGCACTTCTCACGTACCACTCAGTACGTCAGGGGGCCACACAGCACACAGATGGGTGCCCACTGTCTTTGAAACAACAAGTCATTTCAATACATGTCGAATCTTGTGGGATTAAGCTAGTTTTTTAAATTCATGACAATGGTCTTATTTAATCTGAACGCTATCCCTTAATAAAATTTGCCCAGCTCTGGTACACATGCTGACCAACCTCAGGGAAGTCAAGGAATTTCTATGAACCCCGACTTCCTTTTTCATAAAGTGAGAAAATGATGATCTTCAAATTAGCTCAAGGGTGACGAAAATAATGCAGTTAAGATATCCTACAACTCCCAGAGTTCGTCAGTGTTCTATGCCACAGCTCCTATATACAAACACACACACAGTCTTTATGTCATAGAAACATGAATGCATGAAATAACACAACTTCAAAGAATCATCAGGGCCAGGAGGGACCACAGAAATCCAATTGTTTCCTGTTACTGAGGAGGAGAGAGAGTCTAAGTGATTTTAAGGCCACATGGTAGTCAAGCTAGCTTTAGAAGTCAGGATACCAGACACAAGGGAGTATCTCTGTATAACAGGAAAAGCCCTCACAGTGATTCCGAGTCCACTCTCAAACATACCACTTTACCCCCAGCCAGCAGCACCAATGCCAGTAATCCTTGAAGACGTGGGCCTCCCCCATGACTCCCCTGGGGGGCACAGCCTCAGGGGGTATCCCCCCACCCCTTCCTTGACTCAACGTGCTATCAGATAGGGCCGCGTACCCTTTAGATGGGGTAGCAGGAAAATGAATAGGAATAGTGACTTGAAGGAAAGAGATTATAAAGAGCTTTTGGAATAGACGTCCCAACAGAGCAGAATAAAGAGGAATGAACTACAGCCAGTTCTCTGGTTCCTGATCTCTCCCTAGCTCTTCAGTGTCCTCAGGGAAGTCCGTGTGTCTGTGGTAAGATCTGCAGAGCATGGGTACCAGAGCTGCTCACGGGATCAACTGAAGGATACATCTGTGTGACATGACGTAAACTCTTAGCTGCCGCCCCAAAATCCTTTCTCTGATTCTTCTTTAGGAAAAGAATGCGAATTTTATTTGGGATGATAATGCTCCCTGCTAAAAATACCGTATTTCCCAACACCCTTTGCAGGCGAACGTGGCTAGAAATGTGACATGGGACTTCTGGAAAGGAGTTAGAGTTGTCTCAGCTGGGAGTTGGACCTTTTATATGTCTGCCCTACCTTCGTTCTGCTGGCTGGAATGCATACGTGATGGCTGGAAGTCCAGCAGTCATCTTGGACGGTGAGCCATCCTTGAGAAGGAAAGCCACGCACCAGGAAGCAGTGCAGAAAGACTGAAGGGGCCACTTACCCTAATGACCTCGGAGCCAGGAAACAACCCTGGACTTCCTACCTCCACACTTCTTTCATGTGAAAAAGAAAAACACGTCCATCTTGCTTACAGTCACTATTATTTTGGGTTTTGTTAGTAGCAGCTACATATAATCCCTAACTGTTTAAAAGTCGTCTACATTGTAAGAATCAAGAATTAGGTAATATTAGTAATATTATCCCATCAGCCAGAACAAATCTACTCCAGGAAGCTGAGTTGAGAGGTGCTAATGTAAACAAGAAAGATGCCTAGTCATTTTTAGGTATCATATTAGATTACTTCTCTGCACATACCTATTACAGTTAGATGATCTTTAAGATCTTTTCCAACAAAATTTATCTGGTTTGATGCTTTTGTCATTTGATTATGTAATATTTCAAAATTTAAATGATGAATAACAAGAAATTTGTGACACCATTCTTACCTTTTTAGCTTCCTCCCCCATCATTGCATCTAATACTTCTGTTTCTTTCCTTCTGTTTTCCCGAAGAAGTCTGGCCACTTCCTGGTAACACTCGTTTCGCTGCAGATCGTCACATCTTTGTTTATGTAAAGCTTGAATTCGCCAGTCGGCATTTAGACATGCTTGTTCAGCTTTTGCCAAATTTTCTTCAATTAACTAAGAAATATTTGCAAATTTCAGAAACAAGGTCAGACTATATATAAAATACAGTATATCTGTTCAATGCATCCAAGTGTCTAGGGTAGCTGTTTTTTAAAGATTTATTTATTTGAGAGAAAGAGAGAGTGCATGGCAGGGAGGGGCAGAGGGAGAATCTTAAGCAGGCCCAGCGCTGAGCACAGAGCCCGAGGCAGGGCTTGATCTCATGACCCAGAGATCCCCACCTGAGCCGAAACCAAGAGTCGAACGCTTAACTGACTGAGCCACCCAGGCGCCCCTAGGGTGGCTGTTTATAACCTTGGTTGCATATTAGAATCACCTCACGGTGTTTAAAACAAACTGGTGTCCAGGACCCAGCACAAACCAATTATATCAATCTCTAGGGTGGCAGGATATTGGAACTTTTTTTTTTTAAGATTTTATTTATTTTTTGACAGAGAGCAAGAGTCAAAAAGAGAGTCAAGCAGGGGGAGTGGGAGAGGGAGAAGCAGGCTTCCCGCTGAGCAGGAGCCCAATGCGGGGCTCAATCCCAGGACCCCGGGATCATGACCTGAGCTGAAGGCAGATGCTTAACCGACTGAGCCACCCAGGCGCCCCAAGGATATTGGAACTTTTAGAAAGGTGATTCTAATGCATACACAGTCAAGGTTGAGAATTTCTAGGCTAAGCATTAAACAATTTCCATTTTTTAACCTTTTGAAAAGGAGTCAGAAGAGCTCATTCTTACAGACTGGACTAAAGCCTACAAGGAAAAATTAATGGTAGGCTATTCTGGTGGGACCACCTAAGGGATTGTTGTTGAACAGAAGGTAGGGAAATCTTACACTATTCCTGGCTTTTGGACCAGGGCCAGGCCTCACCACAGACCCATTTAGCATTTTGCTAACTGGATAACAGAGAAAGTTCTTTCCTGAAGTTCTCAGATTCTATTTCAATTCACTTAAGCCAGCATTTCTGAAAGGGTACTCCACAGAAATTCTACAAAATAAGTTTGGGAAATTTTCTTAAAGAAAATATCCTCAAATGTGGCAGAAAAATACCCAACTTTAAACAGCACTTCCAACACTTACTTGCCACTCTCCACTTTACTGAGTAATAGTTAATTAATATCCTACAGAATATACTTTGGAAATGCTGGCTTATATACCAGGCGAAGACCTGATGTTTTGCAACTAATCTACTCAGGGACAATTTCTGAGACATAACACAGTAGGTTAGTATCTATAATGTTACTATTTCCCTTTTATTTTCTCCTAAGTCTTAAAATTCTTAGAGTATAAAAGATACATGTATATGTCTGGCAGTGAAGTGAGTAACCTGTAAAAATAATGTGAGATTCTAGGAACTGTGATAACTGAAGCAAAGAAATGAATTAATGCAACTTTATAGAGTTTAATGCAACTTTATAGAGTTTAATCTTGAATTTCTTTTTTTGAAAGGATGACAGATGTGGGGGGGTGCAGGGCAGGGGAAAATAAATATATAAAAGAATGACAGACCTGTCCCCCTCTCTATATACACTAAATTTGCCGTATTTTTACCTCCTGAGTTTTTTGGTTCTGAGTTTGATCTGTTTCTATCAGTTTATGAAACATGTGTTCTTCAAGATCCACTTTTCGTCTAAAGGCATTTGCATCTTCTCTCATTTCTTTTGCAACAGCTTCCTGATTTCTAATAAGATTCTGTTAAAAAAATCAATTGTAAAAAAAAATCACAAATCTATATAATAATGCTAGAACACAAAATGACTTTTTTTTTCTAGAATACTAGCACACAAATAAAAAATTGGCATTTGGTTTTCAAGTAAAAAGCAAACAGCAGTGACATCATGGAAAATACAAGAAAGGACCCCTGAAAATTCTCTCATCCAAAAAAGCATTGAGAACACGGGCCAACTTTTTCAGAACTCTGAAATTAACCAAAGGCTTGCAGCAATTTGGGGAGCATTTACTCATAAAAATGGCTGAATCCTTAACAAATACAAACAAATAAAAAAAAAAATGGCTGAGTCTTGGTAAGAAGAGTAACCCTTAGGGCATTTTTAACTTGCACTATCCCTAGTCCCACCCTACCCCTAAACTCTGCATTAGCCTTGAAAACCAGTAGCCTGGAAGCCAATGGAGGGGGTAAAGTGGAGTTGGAGCTCCTTCAAACTCCGTTTAACCTATTTGGTGGTTCTGGAAGAACCCACTCCCAAGGTTGTCTTTATCCGTCCTGACTCAGAACTCACTCCTTTGAACAGCCTTTTCCCTGGGGACATTTGCTGAAAAACATTGGAGGAAACTGTTGAATATCTTGGCTGCCTGAAGCAGTGGATCACAGTGTAAACCACAAGTTAATCAAAAAGATTTACAGAAAAAAATCGGAGAATCAGATGTCTGTAGGGGACTTTGAAAAGCTCTGATAGATTCCTGGGACCCTAAAAGTCCATGTGCATGTGTAAGGCTGTACACATACAAGGGCTATGTGAACGCTCAGATCTGAGAAGGTCCTGGGCTCTCAAGTCTGGTGAACTGAGGTACTACACGATCAGGAAGTGAAGTCTAAGATAGAGTTGTAAACTACGGAGCCAGGTGTTGAAGGCGTGTCCCAACATAGTGCACACAGAGCTCACTGGCAAAGACTAGAAGTGTTCTGGTTCAAGGCAACTATGGAAATCTGTCTGGTCACTAACACTGAGTAAAGACTTTAATTTAGTTCTATAAATTAATTTTTACAGAATTAATTCAGACAAGTGACTAAGTAAAGAGACAAGAAACCCCGAGGAGGGGGGAGAATCTGATTTTCAGAACTGCCACATTACAGTATTTAAAATATCTAGTTTTCAACAAAAAATTACATGAGATATTAAAAACCAAAAGAATAACTCCACGTACTCTGAATAGTTAACCACACGTTCTCCATTAACCACATGTTCTCCAAAGAAGTGATAAGAACGGCCAATAAATATATGAAAGCATCACTACATGGACTAGCATCATTAGTCATTAGAACAACGCAAATCAAAACCCCAAGATACCACTTCACACCCAGTAGTATGGCGACAATCAAAAGGACAGATAATAACGACTGTTCACAAGAATGTAGAGAAATTAGAACTCTACACTCCTAGGGACATATCTAAGAGAACTGAAAATATATGTTCAAACAAAAAGTTGTACATGAATGTTCACAGTAGTACTACTCATCCTAGCCAAAAAGTGGAAACAACACCAAATATCCACCAATTGATAAAAGGATAAACAAAATGTGGTCTTATCCACACAATGGAATATAATTCAGCCACAAAAAGGAAGGAAGTACTCACTCATGCCACTACATGAATAAACCTTGAAAACATTATGCTATGTGAAAGAAGCCAGTCACAAAAGATTATACATCGTATGATTTCATTTAAATGAAATGTCAGAATAGGCAAATCCATCGAGACAGTAAATAAGTGCTTGCCAGGGTCAAGGGACTGGGGAAGTGAATGCTAACGAGTATAGTGGTTGAAGGGAAGGATAGCAAACAGTATTCATGAAAATTTAAGTTAAAAAAGCCAATTGTATGTACCAAATAATCTCATTTATCCTTATTAATGATATTAGCAGTTATTTTCCAATTTAGGGATTTATTTCTACTTTTCTAATTATCTACTGGCAACATAATTACCTTCATAATGAAAAATAAAAATGTTTTCCAGTGTTATGTAGAGAAGATATATGTATGAAGAATTTTATTGCCACAAATTGTAAAGCACTTAAACATCCAACGACAGAAAAAAGTTTAAATAAGTTATGGTTCATCAATATCTATTACAAATGACAACAAGATATGTAGTCATTTAGAAAAGGGATTTTATTAAGTAAAAAAGAAAAGCAGAATATAGAATCTTAGCTACTCCATAAAGAGGTAAAATGATGTATGTGTAGAGATTAGGGATTAGGAGGAAAACAGTGGAAATCTACAAACAGCAAAGAGGAAGGAAGACAAGGTGGTGGTTTAAAGAAGCAGACGGGGGAGAGAAGTTGTCCATCCATTCTGTAAAATGGTAGAGGGTTTTAGGCCAAGGGGCAATGATGGGAAACTAGTATCTATCCAGCTCGGGCCAGTACCAGACACTGTAAGGGTGAAGGGTAACTTAGTAGCCAGAGTTATTCAAATCCTGCACATTCCAAAGTAAGGATTAGCCCTTGACCAGCTCTAAACCCCTGTAATCCCCTGCCTAAGAGTGTCTCTGTATGCCTGGGCCCTTGGGCTCTGCCAGATAGTTTGTGCTAATCACGTGGCTTATGGTAGGAGCTGTAGGACACACTGTATCAGCCTGACCTCTGCAGAGCAAGTAACTAGGGTCAGGCACGTGCACACTCCATGCCTATGTGAGTGACTCCCAGTAGAACCCTGGATACTAAGACTCGAGTTGAGTTTGCCTGTTGGCAATGCTCTATATGTGTTGTCATACATCTTTGCTGGCAAAATTAAGTGCTATCTGTATGACTCCACTGGGAGAGGACAAGGGGAAGCTTGTGCCTGGTTTCTCCGGGACTCTACCTTATGTGCCTTTCACCTTTGCTGAGGTGTTTTGTTGAGTAATCTCTACCCCCATCATGGGGCTCAAACTCATGACCCCGAGATCAAGAGTTGCATGCTCCACTGACTGAGCCAGCCAGGCGCCCCCAACCTTGGCTGAGTTTACTCTGTATCCTTTCAATGTAATAAACCATAACCGTGAGTATAACAGCTTTTCTGAGTTCTGTGAGTCCTTCTAGCAAATTGCTGAACCTGAGGGTAGTCTTGGGGAATCCTGTCACTGATATATAGATATTAATTCATTTAATCCTCACAGCAGTCTTGGCAGGGGTGGTCCTACGCCAAGGAGAATGTACATGTGCCTGAGAGAGAGACTGAGACAGAGGCCGAAATTGGACTTGGTGAAACAGGTTTCTAGGAGATGAAGGGGATGGAATCTGGGTCAGAGGTTAGTATGTACTTGTTGGTTTATATTTAATTTTATTCTTTTGTTAAAACAAATTTTATTCAGGGGTGCCTGGGTGGCTCAGTCGTTAAGCGTCTGCCTCCAGCTCAGGTCATGATCCCAGGGTCCTGGGTTCGAGCCCCGCGTCAGGCTCTCTGCTCCGTGGGAAGCCTGCTTCTCCCTCTCCCACTCCCCCTGCTTGTGTTCCCTCTCTCGCTGTCTCTCTCTCTGTCAAATAAATAAATAAAATCTTAAAAAAAATTTTTTAATTCAAATTAGATACATATGGGTATTGAGCATATATTTCCAGTAGGGGTCATCACAATACTGTCTGTTTTCTGGGATATAATTTGTTTACAAACAGACGCAGTTAATCAAACTAATGTAAGAGCTAAGTTTGGCAGATAAAGTATTAATCACTAAAACTGATGAAAATGGCAGGAGCTGCACATCTGAATCTAATGGACCAGATAAAGTTCATGATTTTATAAGTTAGTTTTGTTGAGTAGGCTTGGTCTTCTCTAATAGTTTGCTTAATAAATACTTTCCTCAAAAGAGGGCAAAAATGATAATGATCCATAGAAAGAAACTCAGCATTACTTCTGGGGCATTCCTGCCCAAAGCGTGTTAAGTTGAATTGTATCATGAGGAAACAACAGACAAATCCCAACTGAGGGACACTCAACAAAATATCTGGCCAAATGCTTCAAAAATATCAACATTATAAAATATAAAGACAGACTCAGGAGCGGTGCCAACATAAAGGAGACTAAAGAGACATGACAACTGAGAAAATGGATTATGTGAGATTTTCTTTTGCTCTGAAGGACATTTGTACCACAACTGATAAAATCTGAATAAGGCTTATACAGTGGATAACAATCATTTGTTCATTTCCTGATTTTGATCATTGTTCTGTGGTCATGTGATGATTCCTTGGTTTTAGGAAATATACACTGAAGCATTTAGGGGGAAAGGGGCATCAGGTTTGCAATTTTCTCTTAAAAGGTTCAGAAAAAAAATTTATCTACTGTGTGTACAAGTACATACAAGTACATACAAGTACTGTGTGTACAAGTACATACAGAGAAAGAGAAGGATAATGCCAATTTAGCAACATGTTAATATTTGAGTATCTGAGAAAAACATATTTGGAAATTCTTAGTATTTTTCTTGCAAATTTTATGTTAATTCTGAAATCATGCCCTGCTGGTGCCACCACCCACCTCCCCCAAAGAAAAGACAGTAAAAAGTAAATTTAGGTTTGGTCCAAATGAATTGAATCTAATTCAAAATCATAGGAGACTTAGTCAGGGTGTAAATCCCTGGCTCAGTTCTAGAAGTAGTTCAGTGTGGAACTTTAAAAAGTGTTGTAGATACGAATGGATGCCATATGTTTTAAATCTTATTTAATGTGAATAACAATCATATGTTACCTGTTACATATTTGCAGTTATCACTTTCAAATTATCAATTTCAAAGTCTCACTTTAAAAGAGGCTGAAGGAAGTGAAACTTATGGTTTCAACATTAAATAAATGAATAACAAAATGCTTTTCCCAAATAATAAATATTTATATTAACAAAATTCCTTTTTCCAGTGTCGTGGAAACTAAATTATATATTCTAAGAAGATACTTGATCATTTATTTCCAGGAGATTCAAATTTGAAGTACTTTACAGCTCTTGTCTGATTTACCTGACTTACAAAGACCCTTATGAAGTACTGGGTCAATCACTATCAAAAAGATACAGGAAAACTCAGTAAGTTGGTAGAAAATTGTGAGGCAAAATCTGGGACTTACATCTGGTACCTCAGACACTAGACTAAGTCGCTAAGAGAAACATGAATTAAAGAATTACAACAAACTGTACACTCATTCTGGCTACCTTACAATCCTGGATGACAGTATATTCTGTTTAAAAAAAATTAAATAAAATGAACATTACAAAATCATGAATAAATACAATCTAAAAAGAGTTCGTATACGCCCTGCTTCTCTCATGGTGGAAACAGATGATTTATACCTTCTCATAATGTCTTTTTTGCGATTCGAGTTCCAGATGTCTCATTTCTAGGTCTTTCGCTGTAGTAGCAATTTCTCGATCTCTCATGTGTACCTATGGCCAAACAACAAAGTGTGAACACCAGAAAGAATTTACAAGATAATTTCTGTTTAACAGATTTAGTAATCTTGTAATCCAAACAACCCACTAAGAGTATTTTAAATAAGAAGTATTGGGTTTTGATACCAGAGTAACTGATAGTATATTAACATTCACTGTAGAATATAGGAATAATGCCTGAGTTAAAGTTAAAGCTTAATTTTCTAAAAAGGAAAGTACAATTACCATATGCTCATCTACTCAGGCTGCGAGAACAGACGGCAGTTCTTACCACACTGTATCAGCCAATATTATGAGTTAGAAAAACTTGAGCAATTTAAATTTGCAGTGGTTAAAAATATAGAATGTTTAATCTTATTAAATATAACTATATTTAATGTTCTTTTTGATTAAATGGCTATACTTAAATTTTTTTTTTAAAGATTTATTTATTTTTTTAGAGAGAGAGAATGAGGGTGAAGGGTGGAGGGAGAGAGATAATCTCATGCAGATGCCCCACTGAGCACAGAGCCTGACATGGGGCTGGATCTCACGATCCTGAGATCATGACCCAGCCAAAATCAAGAGTCTGTCACCCAACCAACCGAGTCACCCAGGCACCCCTATAGGACTATACTTTTATAAATTCAGTTTGGCAACTAGTAACTCCAAGTTCAAATGTGCTCTGCTTGGACTTAGCTAATTTAAAGTTCACCGTTCATCAGATTTTGATTACTTGGAAACTTTTTACTTCTATACACTAGAGAGTTTGAATAAGGCCCTCTTTAGGTAGATAGAGAATCTTAGGAGCAGTCTTAAATAAATACTTGGCTGCCTAAAGTCTCCCATTTTTTGAGGAGTGATATGTGTTTCAGAAACAAAACAACCTATAACCCCATCTAAGCCCATTCATTTATTCAGTAAACATTTAATGATTGTATTATTATTTGCATCCGTAAGTATTAGACATTGTAAAGATAAAAGATACATGATCAAATACCTATCACTGGAGAAACAAATAGTAAAAATGAAAATACAGTGGGGTGTACAAGAGGGACAAACATCTGAGAAGTAAATAAACCACTGACTGGCAACCAATTTCACTTAAGGAGGTTACTGGGAAGGCAGCTAGCTCAAAGTGGGGATGTTTGAGTTCATGAAATAAGAGCAGTAAAAATGCCAACAGGCAGAGGAGAGGTTTGGCATAATTAATCATGCTTTTCAGGAATTTCAATTAGAGAAGCTCTTTTGCTTATGAATTTTTAGACAGACAAATAGCTTAGTGCCCGAGCAAACCCAGATCAACTTTGCTGATGCTAATGGATGTGCAATCACCCATGCGTGTCACCGTGGACTCAAGTCTTCCTGCTGGTGCCTGCGCTGTGAGGAGAAAAGCTCTGGCAGTTTAGCAGGTCAGAGCGCACTATCAGAATAGGGAGATGAAGGACAGGAGACTGGAAGGCTAAGCAGAGGCCAGATCATGCAAACTGAAAGGACTTTACAGGATTCTTTGACAAAAAATTGCCTTCACTATCTCAAAGAGTTTGGAATAAAGAGGTCAGAGTTCTAAGCCCGTATTACTTTTGGAGAAGAACATATGCTCTTCTAGAATAATGAATTATCAACCTCATTTACTCAGTGAGATCATGAAAAGGAATCACAGCTTTCAAAAACCAATTTAAAATTAATTGGCTTCAAGCAAAACAAAAAGTATTATGCTATAAAAGAGATGACAGATTTCGAATACAGACAAATTCAAAATACTTTCAAAGATTGAAAAAAATACTTAGTATTTTACCAAAACTAGGTTTAAAACTCCCTAAATTAAATAAATTAAATTAATTCAATGCAATCCTAATAAACATGCCAGCAGGATGGGGTGAGGTAGGGATTCAGAGTGATACGATTCTCAAAGTGTATAAGAATGGACTGCAGAGAACCCTGAAAAGGCAGACTAATAGTGGGAATGAGGCCCACTAGTTAGAAAAAGATTATGAAGCTGTTGTTCAGGGTGGTGCTGGCTTAGGAGCAGACAGAGCAATGGAGGAGATAAGATATATAAGGGAATTTAACACTGAATAAACCATCAGTTGGCAAATGACTTTGTTAATCAACAAATGGGTATGACTGTGTTCCAATAAAGCTGTATTTATGGATACTGAAATATGAATTTCATGTTTTTTAAAATGTCACATAATATTCATGTCATGAAATTATTGTTAGAATTCTTTTAACCATTTAAAAAGTCAAAGCCAGGGGCGCCTGGGTACCTCAGTTGGTTAGGTGACCAACTCGTGATTTTGGCTCAGGTCATGATCTCATGGGTCATGGGACTGAGCCCCGTGTGCGGCTCCGTGCTCAGTGGGGAGTCTGCTTGAGATTCTCTCCCTCTGCCCCTACCCCCACTCACGCTTGCTCTCTCTTTAAAATAAATAAACCTGAGAAAAAAAGTGATCAGTCCAAATTGAGGTGTACTGTAAGTATAAACTGACTGCTAGATTGCAAGATTTAGTATAAGCAAAAAGTAAAACATCTCATAATGTCTTTATACTAATTACATATTAAAAAAATTGGAAAATATATTGAATCAAACAAAATGCTATTAAAATGATTTCCTCTGTTTCTTACCTTTTTTTTTCTTATTTTTTTACATGTGGCTGCTATAAAACAAAATTGCCTATGTGGCTCACATCATATTTCTACTTTCCCAAATGGCACAAACAGCCCATGTAAATTGAAAAGAAAAAACTTGACGGAAAATGGACAAATATGGATATACAATTTATAGTTCTTCTACAAATGGAAGATAACTGGAGAGATATTTAACCTCACTAGCAAGAAAAAAAAGATAAAATACACAACTTCCACCTATGAGATTGGCAAATATTAAGACTGATGTACTCCAAATTGACTAGGGTATAAGCACTCTTCTATATACACTTAAAATAACTTAGGTAGGTTCATTTTTGGAGAATAATTTGGTAGGTCTTGGAATTTACTCAACAAAACTATGTGTACTCAAAGATTTGTACTGAGAATGTATAACCTAGCACCATCTTGTATAGCAAAGCACTGCAAACAACCTCAATGTCCAACAAACAGCAAAGGATTAAGTAAATAAACTATAACATAGCCACACAATGGAATACTACGCAGCCGTAAAAAAGGAAAAAGCTCTACCATGTTTTCAGTTTATTTTGGGGACGAAATGACAGAAGAGTAGGGAAGGTCCATTTTTGACTCCCTGTATTTTATAATGGAAATTTTCTTATACTGGCCAGGTGCAAACTTTTATATTAAAAAAGGGCATTTCCCTTATTTCACAGTTAATGGTTCATTGATATTTCTATTTTTAGAGAAACAGTCACCAAGGACACTGGTCAAATTGACTAATTTTCTTGGCATTTCTAAATTTTTTTTGCTATTAGTGAAATTCGAAAGAGAAGAGGAAAAGCTGAAGGAAAAGGAAAAGTAAAGAGGCTATTTAGTATTCCCTGTGAATCCTAGCGAGGACATTTAACTTGAAGATAGGAGAGTAAATGGAGTAAATGGAGATCCTGTGTGAGCACTAAGATACGGATCATGAACCTTTCTCTCGATTTCATCGTCCAGTCTTCTTAGTTCCATTTCACGCTGATCTTGCTGCAGCTTCAGAAACCGCCTCCGTGTAGCATCTTGTAAGTGCATTTCCTTGACTTTCAGCTCTCTTTTCACAGAAGCTAGTCTTAAATACAAAATACATTAAGAGGAACACATAAACACATTTCCCAATATAGACTGAAGTGGAAAAATCGTATGTTTCACAACAATGAAAGGCCCGCCACTGACTTTGGCGTACCTGCCCCAGTCCCCTGGTGCTACTTTGGCATCCCGCACACGGAGAAATGATGCCCGTGGCTGCCTTCGTGGAAAGGACAAGTGTCCAAACGCAACTGGCTATGCTTTTCGTATTTAAAAGTTCCTAACAGGTCTACTCAGATCACCTTGGTGCAATCAATATCCTTTATCTGAAGGAAGAATGCCACAAAGTGCTCTGGGGTCACCAAAGATTATGTATGCTTTCTCTGCCAGAATTTTAGTACAAGGTTAATGCTCAGTTCAGTAACTGTGTTTAACCCACACTAGAAATCAGTTTTGTAAAATCGCAACAAGGAGTAAAACTCAGTAAACACTTACAGAAGTGAGGTTCTCCAACAATTAGGCTTAGTCTCAGTGCTCATCCCATAATCTTAATTAATTGAAACATTTTGCTTTATTAATATACTTTTGAATAAGCATTTAATACTTCTTCCCCTATCCTCCAAAGTATGAGATGCATAATGAGATAATCATTTTATGTTCCAATTTTCAAGTCATACAGATATGTTTAAAACACAATTTTAAAAATTCTGCTCCCCTGGAGGTGATTTATCCAGCCCTGTGTTACAAAGCATTTTTGCCTATTGTACAATGATGTTTCCAATAATGTCTTCCAGGGCACATTAGACTTGTGTTACTTTTGAATAATCAGTGCAGTCAGAATTCCATTTCATATGCCAATTTTTTGAAATGTGGTAGATGCAGATTTGTTATTAGCTTAAATTTTTGCTTAATGGAAATGCCACAGCTGGGTAATGTTACGTATATAGAAAAGAAAGAAGAAAATAAAAATTATTCAACTAACTCACAAATCCAGATTTTCTCAAAGTGGTAACACATACCTCTGTCTTTGCTGTATCATCTTTTCCTCCTCCTGTAAGAGCAATTCTCTCCTCGTTTCTTCGGCTTTACGAAGTAGTTCTTGTTTTTGGTACCAAGCTTCGTCTTCAACTCTCTGCTGGTCTACCTCAGCTTGCATATCTTCAACCATCTGCCTTAAGTAGGGAATACTTACTATTATATCCAGACACGGACAAGCCCCCAGGACACACTTGTGATTATGCAAGGGTAAATTGCTATTTGCCTGTCAGACCTTGAACTACTGCCTTTCACGTTCATATTTATCTCATCCAAGTGGTAGAAAGCACCGAAAAGGATGCCCTATGTAAGTCTCACCAAGAAATGCAAACAAAGAAAAAAATTCAAACAAAGAAAACTGAGTAATTTAAGTCCAACCAAAACACAAGATGTATACCTGATTAACATGTAATTGTTTTACTTCTATATGCAAGAATTAAATATTTTTAAAGATACTCCCAGCCTTCAAACTCTGATTTTACACAAATACTTAATAATTTACATGTGTTTTTCATAAAAAATTCTGTCTGTATTTATGACAGACTTTGCTACTATCACACAAAGAACAACTATTCCATGATTACCTCTCCCTCAGGTAGTCCAATTCATCAATCCTTATTCTTTCTCGCTCCTGTGTCTGATAGTCCACAATAAACTTTGGATATTGGTTAAATACTGGATATTGCCCTTTTGTCAAGGCCACAAAGACATGAAGCGTGCTTTTGGGATGAATATCAGTAGGAGTGGTATCCATGAGATGATAGACTTCTCTAATGATAACGCTTATATCCAGGTTATTCCGATGATGAAAAAAATACTGTAAGAAAACTTTGTGTTGAAATTGTGATTTATCTAATAAAGCAGTTACGAGGGAGAAAATAAGAGTTTAAAAATTGTGAATTTATCTTTTCTTCCTTTCTTTCTTTTTTTCTTCCTTCCTTCCCTTCCTCCCTTCCTTCCTCCGTCCCTTCTGTCCTTCCTTCCCCCCATCCTCCCTCTCTCTTTCCTTTCTTGGCAAATTCACTGAAACTTTTCTTAACCCAAGTTTTAAAATGAAGAGTCAATTTCATATTTTCAAAGTCTAATAAGATTTCAAAACCAAACTTCTGAAATAATACTTTTTAAATTTTAACTCCAACAGAAGGCCTCCTTTATATTAGAAGAAGAACACTTCAACCAACAATGGAGCAAACTCTTCTGCTTGGATTTTTTCCTTGCAAAATCCAAAATAAATAAATTTGAAAATAAATTAGCTTGATTCGTTAAAAATATCTGAAATGTTTCCACACTATCTTGTTCTGCTGGCAGGTCCAAATTCTAAAATATATATAGATATGTATCTTGTGAACAGTAAGTAAAAATAAAGTTTGACAGGGGTGCTTGGGTGGCTTAGTCGGTTAAGCGTCCGACTCTTGATTTCAGCTCAGGTCATGACCTCAGGGTCGTGAGATTGAGCCCCTCGTTAGGCTCCGTGCTCAGTGGGGAATCTGATTGAGATTCCTTTTCTCCATCTCCCTCTGCCCCTCCCCACCCCTCTCTCTCTCAAATAAATAAATGTTTAAAAAAAGAAAAACTAAAAACCTTTAAAAAAAATTAAGTTTGACAGGAACCACTAAATAAGTAACAAACCCAATTCATCCTGTTTACCAAAAGAATCTCTCCTTTCATTTTTTATTTTTATTTTTTTAAGATTGTATTTATTTATTTGAGAGACAGAGAGAGAGAACACATACGAGCGGGGCGAGCGGCAGAGGGAGAGTGACAAGCAGACTCCCCGCTGAGTGTGAAGCCCGACTTGGGGCCCCATCCCAGGACCTTGAGATCATGACCTTAACCAGTTGAGTCAGACACTTAACCAATTGACCCTCTCCTTTTAAAAATCTCCTCTAACGCTTTCAAGTAACCTTCCTGCCATATCTCAAAATTCTCAGAGTAACCATTTCATATGTGTAATAAGCATCCAGATTGTCACAGACTGGATGGATCACTGATAAAACCACCCAAGGAATTAACAAGGACTCAACTGGTAAACATCCTTTACATAGGGAACAAGCGCTAAGCTCCAGTATTACCGTGTTTCTTTTCTGAAGCTACGACTTGAAGACAAATAGCGTGCTGTGATTGTCTGTTGGATTCGCGACCAACAATGTCAGAGTAAGGGTGTGATTGGATACCTTGCTCTCCACTCCATTACTCCCATTGGATACCTTGCTCTCCACTCCATTACTCCCATCTGGCACTAGTACCTGACATGCAACAGGTACTCAATAAATGTATCCGTTCTTCAATGGGAATAAATGAGACTTGAGAACCGTGACTTAAGAACAAGGATATTTACCTCAAAATCATCTTTAAGACTGCAGTTGAGCAAAGGAGCTCTAGAGCATATGTTGTAGGCTACCACAGTCATCAGGAGGAATGAAGGATGGTTGGAAAAGACATTATCAAACAATTTTAGCCACTCCTCTCTTGTTAGTACTTCTGAAAAAACAGTTTCAAGAAGAGGCCATGCATACAGCTAAAATAAATAAGGAAAAACTTATTAGTGTTCTATGGAAAAGTCGTTAAGTCCTTGCTAATACTCTCTTACATTTGAGGTAGCTGTTAAAACCATTATATTCAAAACAATTCTGAAAAGAACTCCTTAATATGGACCCTTCTTTACAGACTTTTGGGAAAGCAGTTTAATGAAGAAAAAGAATGGAATACTGTTAAAAATACAAAGGATAGTATGTTCTTTTATTATACTCTTCCAAGAAAATTCTGTCTTATTTAATACCAGAATCAGTGTTAGCTTCCAAGATTAGTCATGTTATCCTAAAAACCTCACACTTCTTACCTGGGAAGTTATGTCATGATCTATGAAGTGCTGCAGCAGGTCTTTGTCGTGGAATGCCAAAACATTTTCTATCATACTGAGAATATTGATGGGAGGGTTAGGGAAATATTCAAACCAGTGTTGACACCAATTGACTATGAAGAAAAAAATTGAAAATCTATCTTTACCATTCTATATTATCAAGGGATTCTGCAATTCTTACATGAATCCACTCTATGTCCTCAATATGCCCATTAATAAAGAAAACATGACAACTCTTTAAGTTCTAGAACCATCGATTTTAAAGTTGCATCATGTTAACATTGTATTTTAGGTTTATAGAATTGCCCAATTTCTTCAACTGAGAGCAGTCAATGAGGAAGTGTCCATTAAAATAAACAAAACTTCCCAAAGTATTCCTGATCTTCCTGTAGGGCGCTCTGCTTCCTGCTTCTCCTGGTTAACAAAATGACCCTTCTACAAAAAGATTCCTTCTTAAGTCTTGACAATCTCCTAAAATCTACTCAAATTCATACCTAATCAAAATTAGAAAAGTTTATAAGAAATGTTCAAAATTACTAATTTTTTTTGAGAGAGCGTGAGGGGGGGTGGGCAGAGGGAGAGAGAGAATCTTAAGCAGACTCCACGCCCAAGGTGGAGCCTAACACCATGACCCTGAGATCATGACCTGGGCCGAACCCAAGAGTTGGACGCTTAACCAACTGAGCCACCCAGGCGCCCCCAAGATTATATTCTTACACATCAATAGCAACACATAAAAACAAATGGGCATGTATCATACCCCTATGCATTAAATGTTATAATAGCAGAATAAACACGTCCCTATTACTAGGACAAGAGTGACTGTTCTACGGCCGTGATAACAACCACCAGAACTGGTTTTAAATCTAAGCCATCGACGACATGTAAACCTGACTTTGAAAACCAACCAGTGACGGAGGGATTCTCTGAAAGTCAGCCAGTGGAAAGCAGAATCTATTCTGCTCAAGATGCTTCTACAGCTCACGTTAACTCACTGAGTAACCACTACGACCCCCAAAACATTCTCCTAAAAACGCTGGTAAAATCAGTTAGTTTCACTCAATGGACTACGTCTAATCACCACAGCCCTCCTTAATTATTAAATTCGGATTTTTATTTTAAACACTGAATTGTGGTTCCATCCTTTGACAATAAGATCTCCTTTCTCATATTAGCAAAAGGAGGCTTAGATCGGCAGAATTTTGCATTATATCTGGTTATAAAGGGCCTACTAATTCCAGAAGTCAATTATTTATTAGTAAGTAAATGTGAGTTAATAATTGAGGCATAAATAAACTCTTGCAAAAACTAAGCTTTGAAAGAAATTATTTCAGCTTCTTTAACTGCTGCTCTTAACTTTAAAAGAAAAACCCAGTTCAGCAACACATGCTAAGTGTCTATCATGTCTCAGATACTGCTAGTCCTAGGAATTTTAAAACACCACACACACACACACACACACACAGCTCAGATTTTTATAACTAATCTTCATCAAGAGAACACAGTTCTCAGTTAGGCATGAGGGAAACCCTGCTTTATACAGTGTTTGCCTTCTCTTCTTCTACTCTGCATGGTGTCACCACAACAGAAGTATGGGTAGAGGACCCAGAGACAGAACTCACCGGAGAAGAGGATAAAGAGAAATAACTGTGGAGATCCTTGGCTAAACTGGAAGAACTCCCTCTTGGTCATAAAAGAGACTGTAAACAGTGCTTAAAGATGACTTTTATAAACATATCCCAAAGGACTGTATTCCTTTTCCCCAGGTCCCAACTAGACTGTAAACCTAAAAAGCCAGAACAACGGTGTATCGCAAGCAATGCTAACATTCAGTTGGAGCTCAGTAAATGTTTCTTGAATAAAACTAGTTTGAGACCCTTGACAGAGGGGAGACCCTTCACAGCTACTCATGCTGACCATGATGGATCTTTTAGATTTAAATTTCAGGCTTAGAAGAGAAAATCAATTCCTCAGCACATAATCATACTGCAGCGATATAACAAGATTTTACTGGAAATAAAAAATAGTTTTGCACGCTTACCTACATATAAACAGCTTTTCTTAGGGTAAAATATCATTTGCCATTTTAACCATTTTTAAGTATGCAATTTAGTGTCAATAACTATATGCACAATGTTGTGCAACCATCACTATTTGCAAAATCCTTCCCCAAACAGAAACTCTGTACCCATTCAGGACTAACCTCCCATTCCCACCTCCTCCAACTCCTGGTAACCTCTAATCTACTTTCTGTGTCCATAAATTTGCCTATTTGAAATATTTCATATAAATTTGTCCTTTTGTGCCTAGCTTTCAGGGTCTATTCCTTTATATGGTTAAATCATATTCCATCGTATACCTATATATACTATATACATAGTTGATCCATTCATCTGTTAGCAATGATGATAACATGATGACGATACTTGGGCCGTTTCCACCTTTTGGCTATTGGGAATAACGCTACCATGGATAGTCACATACAAGTATCTGTTTGAATCTCTGTTTCCAATTCTTTTGGTAATCCCTAAGAGTGCAATTGCAGGATTATATGATAATTTTATGTTTAACTTTTTGAGGAACTGCCAATTTTCCACAGTGAACACCATTTTACATTTCCAGCAATGTATGAAGGCTAGAATTTTTCCACATTCTTGCCAACACCTATTTTTTTCCTGTTTTTAAATTATAGCCACCCTAGAAGATATAAAGTGGTATCTCAGTGTGGTTTTGATTTGCATTTCCCTAATAACTAATGATCCAGAGTATCTTTTCAGGTACTCATCAGCCATCTGTGTATCTTCTTTGGAGAAAAGTCTAATCAAGGCCTTTGCCCATATAAAAATTGGATTATTTGTCGTTTTGTTGTTGAGTTGCTTCTTTTCCTTTTAAAACTCCGAGTGTTATTGCCAGGGTAAATTAGTATAACCCCCCCCCCTTTTTTTTTTAAAGATTTTATTCATTTGAGACACAGAGATATATGAGAGAGAGAGAGAAAGCATGAGCAGGGAGAGAGGCAGAGGGAGAGGGAAAAGCTGGCTCCTCCCTGAGCCAGGAGCCCGATGTGGGGCTCGATCCCAGGATCCTGGGATCATGACCTGAGCCGAAGGCAGACGCTTAACCATCTGAGCCACCCAGGCGCCCCTAGTATAACTCTTTTAAGGAATCAATTAGAATATTCATATTTTATGACCTAACAATACCAATTCTAGGAATTGACCAAGAGAAAATATTATACATATTTATATGTGAAGACAGTTGTAACACTGTTTCTTTAGGTAAAAGTTAGAAATAACCTAAATGTCCAACAACAGATTAAACTAGTACATTCACATTATAGAATATTAGAGTCATAACGGGGAAAAAAAGAATATTAGTCAACAAAAACAAAACAACAACGCCTGGGTGGCTCAGTCATTAACTGTCTGCCTTTGGCTCAGGTCGTGATCCCGGGGTCCTGGGATCGAGCCCGCATCGGGCTCCCTGCTCGGCGGGAAGCCTGCTTCTCCCTCTCCCCACTCCCCCTGCTTGTGTTCCCTCTCTCACTGTCTCTCTCTCTATCAAATAAATAAAATCTTTAAAACAAAACAAAACAAAAAAAATATTTATAAAGTTTATAAAAAGAGAAATGTACCTAACATATTAAATAAAAAGTAGTATAGGGGCGCCTGGGTGGCTCAGTCAGTTAAGCGTCTGCCTTCAGCTCAGGTAATGATCCCAGGGTCCTAGGATTGAGCCCCGTGTCAGGCTCCCTGCTCAGCAGGAAGTCGGCTTCTCCCTCTGCCCCTCCCTCTAGCTCATGCGCTCTCTCTCAAACAAATAAATAAAAAATCTTAAAAAAAAAAAGTAGTATAATTACAAAAATTTTAAAAACTGCTTAAAAAGTATGGAAAAATTATTTTAAAAAAACTAATGGTCTAGCAATTGGGGGACTAAACTATGATACACCTATATGATGGAATATTATATTACACAGTTATATTAAACAAATTATGTTTTTCAAGAATATTTAATGATTTGGGGAAAATGCTCTTATAAGAAATTCATCAATATATTATATCAAAGATTACCAATGAGGAGGAGGAACATTGGTGAATTTTCTTTTCTTTTGTATGTTTTCCTATATTTTCTCCAATCAGTAAAAATTTATCAAAGCAAATATAATGCAATTAAATGAACAAAAAAACATAAAGAGAAATACACTATAATATTCACAATATGTATGCTTGAATCTTTTTATTTCTACTTTTAAAAATTTTACTGTAATTACAGTTAAGTGCTTATCTCCTTTGTATAAGAAAACCTTTGAAAGCAATTTAAAATACATATAAAATTGTTATTTTTGTTAAACCAATCTATAACTGGATTCAGTTTATTGACCTAATTATACTAATATGAAAAAAAGGACTCACTTTTCAGAGTAGATGCTGTTGATGGCAAGGGTAAACACAATGGTTCCCAGCACAGACTAGAGTCTGCTTGGGTTCAAATCCTCGTTCTGCTACCAACCTACCCTTGGGAAGCTCTGTGTGCCTCGTTCTGCCACCAACCTACCCTTGGGAAGCTCTGTGTGCCTCAGTTTCCTCAGTTATAAAAAGAAAATAACAACGCCTACCTCATAGGACTGTTGTAAGATTTAGGTAAGTTAATAAAGGCAAAATACAGAGAATGGTACCTGGCACACGGGAAGTTCTCAAGAAATGTTTGCTCTGGATGCTGAGAACGAGGACGGCAGTTAGCAGCTTCCACAACAGGCACTGTGTTCTAAATCCCTTACGTACTTACTACAATCCTATGAATAATAACTGACTTTCAGTAAGTGAAACATCTGCTTCCTTCTTACCTTTTTTTTTTTAGGATTGTTATTTATTTGAGAAAGAACGTGCGTGTGCACACAAACAGGGATGGGAGGAGCTAAGGGGGAGGCAGGCTCCCCGCTGAGCTCAGAGCTGGATGCGGGGCTCCATCCCAGGACCCTGAGATCATGACCTGAGCTAGACCCTTAACCAACTGAGCCACCCAGGTGCCCCTGCTTCCTTCTTACTAACAAAATCTAACCTGTAACAGTATCTTCTAAAACGCAACTATCCAAATTTTCTTGTAAATAGAAAGGTTTATGTATAAATGTCCGAACTGTCCATTCCGTGCTCTCTATCTGATTGTTCAACACCAGAACTGTTTAATGTTACAAAGCTGCAAAGACATCACAAAAATATACAGGAAATCCACTCTTGGTTTCATTATTTAATACTTATGTACTTACTTATGAGAGTAGCAACAACTTCAAAACAAATGAGCTGGTTGTTCTGGAATAATTTTACAAATGGAAATGCCAAGAGTGGAAGATATGGTGTGTCGCTAAAGATGGCAGACCAGTGAGCTAATGCAGATAGGGTTCTGTGAATCAGGTAAGGAGATAAAGACCAGAGAACAGTTTATTATTAAAATTTGACTAAATAATATATTCACCTGATAAAAAATTTGCTATGGAAGGTATATTTGATGAAAATTCTCCCTCCTACCTTTATCATCTAGCTTATTTCCCCAGAACCACTGTTAAAAGTAGAGATCCTTTTTTAAAAAATAGAAAGGTTGGTATAAACATTGTTTTACACCTTGTGTTTTCCACTTAATAGTATCTTGGAAACAGTTCATTTTCAGTAGATGTGGAGCTTTGATACACAAGATAGTTTCGTATAGATACACCTTAATTTCTTTAACTTGGGCCTTACTGGGCATTTAAGTTGTTTCTAATCCTTTATAAATAATGCCATGCTTATTGTTTTATTTACATCATTCTTCATGTAGGAATATAGATTTGGATAAATTCCTAGAAGTGGAATTGCTGAATCAAAAAACATGTGCATTAATTTCAATAGCCAGTGCCAAATTATTCTTTGCAAAAATAGTGGCTATTCACATTCTCATTAGCCGAGTAAAGGGATGCCCATTTTCTCACTCTGGCCAATGTGTTTTATTATCAACCTTCTTTTTAAACCTTTAGTCTAGGTGAGAAATGGTATTTCAATGTGGTTTTCAATGTATATGTGTATATACATTTTCAATGTAATTTTAATTGGCATTTATTATAAGAGAGGTACAGCATCTTTTCATGTCTAAGAACCATATCCCCAGCTATGAACTACATAATTCAATCCTTTTTCCATTTTTTATTCATTGGTCCTTTCCATGCTCATTTAAATGAATACTTCATATAGAAACCAGTCTTTTATTTGTCCTGTGTTTTGTATATACCTTCTCAGTTTTACATATGTCTCTGGGGAATTTTTTTACATGTAGAGATTCATGTTCATAGCAATCTCTTCCGGATATGTCAAGTTTAAAAAGGCTTGCCTTACTCTAGGGCTATAATTCTCCCATATTCTGATACTTTCAAGGTTTCCCTTTTTTTTTTAAACCTTTTGTTTTGAGATAGTTTTAGGTTTACAAAAAGTTGTAATATCAGTAGAGAGTTCCTGTATACCTTTCACTCAAATTACTCTGTTAACATCTTGCATAAATATAGTACAATTATCAACACTAGGAAATTAACATTGGTACTGTGCTATTAACTAAATCAGACTTCATTCAGATTTTATCATTTTTCCCATTTTGCTGTGTCATTTTTTCGTTTTGCCAATCTAGGATGCAACACTGTATTTCTTTGCTAAGTCCCCACAGGTTCTTCCAATGTGGAAGCTCCCAGTTTCTTATCTTTTGGACACTGACATTTTTGAGGAATACCACATAGTTATTTTATAGATTGTCCCTCAATGTTTTCTCACAATTTTAGAGTGAGGTTATAAATTTCTGGCAAGAATACCAAAAAGTGATGTACAACATACTGATGTGTATTATTACTGGTGATTTTAAATCTGACTACTTAGTTAAGGTGGTATCGGCCAAGTTTCTCTACTATAAAATTACTATCTTCCCGTTTGTAATTAATAAATATCTCTAGGAAGATACACATATTGCTGCAATATACCGAACATACCTCTGTAATACTCTGAGTAGTTTCCCGCTTTTGATGGGGTATTTCTTCTGAAGGTTGAGAAATGCCACATGAACACCCTTATCTTCCAGGCTGCTAAATGCCGTATGGTTTTCAGGCAGTTGTAGAAGAGAACGCCAAATGAACATTCTGGAACAAAAACATAATTTCAACCAAGAAAAATTTGGGGGGTAAAATTGATTTAACATGAAAGAAAGTAAATTTTACCTGTATTTCATTGGATATTCACCATAGCCTTTTAATAAGACTTGTAAACGGTTTTTGTTCAAGCCATCGGACAACTCATTCTTAAAAAAATAAATAAATAAATAATATCAGTAAGTGACATAATCACAAAACTGAAAAGGTAGTCTAGCCCACAGTGGCTTTCCAGCTTTACTTACTTATGTATTTAAAGATTTTATTCATTTATTTATTTATTTTAGAGGGGGGAGGAATGAGCAGGGGGAGAAACAGAGACAGAGGGGGAAAGAATCTCAAGTAGACACCACGCTGAGCATGGATTCTGATGCGGGGCTCGATCTCATGACCCTGAGATCATGACCTGAGCTGAAACCAAGAGTCGGGATGCTCAACCAACTGAGCCACCTACGTACCCCGTGGCTTTCCAATTTTAGAACACTACATGCAGTAAAAAAATATTTTTACAACATGGGACTCTATTCTCTGTCTCTCTCTCTCCAGTGCACATGTACACAGCAGATAAAGTTCATGACGTATCACCCTAGACCTGGGTTTGGCAAACTTTTTCTGTAAAGGGTCAGAGAGTAAATGTTTTAGGCTTTGTGGGTCAAGAGATAAAATCAAGGATATTATGAAGATACTTAAAATGTAAACATTTAAAAATGTGAAACTTATTCTTAGCCGGAGGAGCCAGATGTGGCCGGCGGGCTGTCACCTGCTAATCCCAGCGGCAAGAGCAACACGTCCTGGTATTTTCTTCGTTCTTTCTCTCCCCACCCTTTCACTTTTTTCCCCCTTCTTACTTTTTTTTTTTATTAAGATTTTATTTATTTATTTGACAGAGAGAGACACAGCGAGAGAGGGAACACAAGCAGGGGCAGAGGGAGAGGGAGAAGCAGGCTTCCCAGAGAGCAGGGAGCCTGATGCGGGGCTCGATCCCAGGACCCTGGGATCATGACCTGAGCGGAAGGCAGATGCTTAATGACTGAGCCACAGGTGCCCCTCCCCCTTCTTACTTTTAAGTCAGTTTTTATCTTAATGGAAAATTACTATATAGATTTGGGGATGATAAAGCCATTTTCAGAGATGACCTCGTTTGATGCTAACAACTCAACGGAACAGATGGGATGTTTTTTCTTTGAGAAAAAGGGTAGGTCAGAGCTCAGTGACACAAACCTGATCAATAAGTCTTGGCTCAAGACTCAAAGCCAGATTTTCTGACTTGGTTCAATGCTCCCCCCCTTTTTTTTTACCATAAAAAACAGGTAGTCCAATGTAAGAGGGGGTGAAGGGAAAACCCAAGAGGATGGTGAATGAAGATCCCCCTTTGAGAGCCATGCGCCAGAGACTGAAGGCTGGGGCAACAGGATCTAGGAAAGAGACACATTCATTCCCGTCATCTGCAAGACACCTGCTGCCACTGGAACCTCTTTGTAAACAAAGATAAAACGCCCAGGTGGGTTTGGCTTGAGTTTTATCTGTTCTTATCTTGACCACATACAGATGAAGTTCCTGCTTCCCCGTCCATAACCCGACGCCAAGATTAGTGGACAAAATGCATTTCACCCTGAACAAGGGTTCTACTTGGACCTACTCCTTACAGCCGACTGCGGATTGCTTAGAAGCAGCCCACTCCCTGACACATTTCTGTAGGATTTCCGAATTTGACTCACACTAGAGCACTGCCAGATGCCCTGATGGTGGTGCCTCTTTTATTTCACAGAAGTCAATTGTGATCATGCCCTCCTTTTTCTCAGAAAAGCCTCCTATAAATTCTCAGGAAAGCTGAGGTCAGACCATGTCTCAGAGCTATCATTCAGCCTATTTTCTCAGTCCCTGAACAGGAACAATATTGTCCAATCTTTACACAGCTAGACTTGTGCCTGCTAGTTAGCTTTTTAAAACTAACCAATATTTTTGGAAGGGAGCTTGGTGGGGGGATGGGATAATTGGGTGATGGGCATTAAGGAGGGCATGTGTTGTAATGAGCACTGGGCATTATATGTAATGAGCAACCGATGAATCACTAAATTCTACCCCTGAAACTAATAATACGCCATATATTGACTAAACTGAATTTATTTATTTATTTATTTTTAAAGATTTTATTTATTTATTTGAGAGAGAGATAGTGAGAGCAAGAACACAATCAGGGGGAGTGGCAGAGGGAGAAGCAGGCTTCCCGCCGAGCAGGGAGCCTGATGTGGGGCTCCATCCCAGGACCCCGGGATCATGACCTGAGCCGAAGGCAGACGCTTAACGACTGAGTCACCCAGGCGCCCTGTTTATATTCTTTTTTTAAAAATGTATTTACTTATTTAAGTAATCTCTACAGTCAACGTGGGGCTTGAACTCACGACCCCAAGATCAAGAGTCACATGCTTTTCTGACTGAGCCAGCCAGGCACTCCAGGATATTTTATTTCTTCTGCTTATACAAAGTTTCAATGTGGGATGAGTATCTGCCGTATGCAGCGCATCTCAGTCCAGACTAGGCGCATCTCAGGTACTCAGTAGCCCCATGTGGCTAGTGGCTAGCGTATTGGACAGTGCAATTCTATACTATTTGACTTCTTTAAAAATCATAAACATGTACTAATTACATACTTAAAATTTAGAAGGCATTGGGGCGCCTGGGTGGCTCAGTCGTTAAGCGTCTGCCTTCGGCTCAGGTCATGATCCCAGCGTCCTGGGATCGAGCCCCGCGTCAAGCTCCCTGCTCTGCGGGAGGCCTGCTTCTCCCTCTCCCACTCCCCCTGCTTGTGTTCCTGCTCTCACTATGTCTCTCTCTGTCAAATAAATAAATAAAATCTTAAAAAAAAAAAAAAAAAAAAAATTTAGAAGGCACATTATAATTTCAGTTACAACTTTCTTCTCTTCTTTCCTTTAACTTCCAAGAGAGGGAAGAGTGATGATGGCCTAAGGTATCATCAATCTTGTCCACAGCAGAGTCATGACAAACAAAAATGTAACTATAATATATTCTTACCTCTTTATTTTCAAAACTACCAGCCAGGTCTTGCTTTAGTATTCTGGTTTGTATTTTGTTTTCCCTTGATTTTGCTGGCCGCTGTACTCTTCCTGTTGTTACTTTTATCTTAAGGTCACCAGAATTCAGTTTACTCTTGGGCAAATCTTCAATCACTTTCACTAAGGGAGGAGGTGGCTAAAAGGGGGAAAAAATAAAATCTAGTGGTTATCCTTGGAAAACAGACCTGTCCACATAGGATTTACAAAATTTGTTGTGATCAATTTCATAATGTGCCTTAACATACATCATTATTCTTCAAGCAAAAAGTGTACATAAAATAACCAAGAATGTTTCCTTGTCATTAAATCAAAACAAATTTCTGCCAAATTCCTTTGAAGAACACAATAGATACATGATTGACAACAATAGAGAATTTAATTATCCCTTGAAAGCTGGCCTTCAATCATAGTATATCCATTTTTTTAAAAGATTTTATTTATCTATTTGAGAGAGAGAGCATGAGAGAGAGAGAGCGAGCGAGCATGAGTGGGGGTGGGGGGGCAGAGGCAGAGGGAGCAGTAGACTCCCCACTGAGCAGGGAGCCCAATGCAGGGCTCAATCCCAGGACCCCAGGATCATGGCCTGAGCCGAAAGCAGATGCCCCAATCCATTTTTTTTATACTTGCGCGATAAAGTTAGTAGTTTGGTGATAATCAGCACAGAAGGCACAGTTGGACGTAGGGCCCTCCTAGAATGGGGAGAGAAGCACCCTAATATTCTTTGGGCTCAAGTGAATTTCTCTGAGGGATTTGTCAAATGACATTCCTCTAGAGGCATGGGACGCCTGCCTCTGTCTCTGGCTCCACAGAGAAGGCTGTTAGTCCCCTATGGCATCAACAGCTTAACGGGCAATTTGGACAGCACCACTTAGAGTCTTAATCCTCATTTCTATGGGAAAATAAGAAGAAAATTAGCCCCAACAATTTACTTAAGGGAAAATGATACACTAACACATTTTCTCTATGAATAATACCACTTTAAAATAAAAAGATCTTCCTTTTTCAAAGGAAATGAGCAGATAAGGTAACTCAGGCTTCCCGAGTTCTAAATATTAATGAAAGTACAATGGCTTTCACAGACCATTTAAATGTTTGAGGCCTTCATTGCTAGAAGTTTCCTTAGTAATTAGCCCAGACCCAAATCAAAGACTAGGTGGATGTGTGATTTTTAAAAATTTTTTCTGGAAGCCAAAGTGTCAATTCCTTTCATATGAAAACAGAGAACGACAACACAGGGAAGACCCCGTATGTCCAAATGAACACATCAGATTTCAGAAAAACACATGTTAGACACAGTACCTCGTATTCACATTGTCATGAAAGCCAGAACAGTGATCTTCTAAGATAATGTCTAATGAAAATGAATCACCACTCTTCAGGAAAGCTCTCTGAAAAGGATACCAAACTTTTTGACCTCTTCCCCTCTCACTCCCAAAAGAATAAAGCAGAACAAAGCAAACATCTTGACCCTTTTTCATAACATAGACTACTAAAAGGCTACTTTGAGGTTTCAGAGATTTTTCTCATGTTATCTTCAGAGGTTTAGGACTTCTGCTTTTGAAATCTACAGCCTACTGTCTGAGTCCAAAAAAGTCTTCCCTGGGGTGCCTGGGTGGCTCAGTCGGGTTACACGGTTGACTTCAGCTCAGGTCATGATCTCAGGGTCCTGGGATTGAGCCCTGTGTCAGGTCTGTGCTTGGTGGGGAGTCTGTTTCTCCCTCTCCCTCTGCCCTCCCCCCAACCCCCCGCTCATGCTCTCTCTCGTGCTCTCTCTCAAATAAATAGAATCTTCAAAAAAAGTCTTCCCTATTGCCAACTGCAGTGTGATGAATACATAACACTGTAAAATGTATACAGTAGGTAATGTGACAATACACACATGGCATAGATACTAAATTTTTGTTTTAAAATTATTATAAAAAGCATTTAAAGTTGTGACTGTTTCTATAAGATTTTTTAAATGGTGTTTTTCTCGGATACATGGTCATTTATTCACATCTAGAAAAAACACAAGGATAAAGGCAAGTATAACAATAGCTCTGACCCAAAAAAAAGTATGATGGCCACCTATTCTATGATTCAATTTTTCAATTCTTTATCTATGAAATGCAATTAGAAATGGTCTGACTTCTAAATATTGCCCATCTTTCTAACCTCAATCCATTCTTCCCAATCTTTATTAAAATTTTTATTCTAGCGCCACGTTTTTTCTCTTGAACTTCATGTGCTTCCACGAAATACAATCTCCCAAAAGTTAGGGCCTGAGATATGACCTGCATAGCCAATACCTTAGTAGTGTTAAAACTTCAACAAAGAAGTAGCAATTAGCTTACTTACTGGCACAATTAGCACCAATAATTCTCCAATAGCCAAAAAACAGGACTTGAAGGAATGGAACATGGGTCAGTTCTATAGAAACTACAGACCTGAGCATTCGTGTATGCTCAATAGCCAGGAAGACACTGGTAATGTGTACAAAAGAAAAAGAAAAAAAGATCATCCTCCTCCTGTTATACTCTAGCTTTTCTGGTCAATATGATGTTAATTTGCTTAACAAAGAGCAGAGAGGAAGTCACTGACTTACTCTTACTTTGGTTTTTCTCAGATCTCTCCCCGCTTCTATTAATAACATGTACCTAGCTCCTCCAAAATTCAGCTAAGCTGAAAACTCCCATTAAGAGCAAATAATGTTATTAAAATTTTTAAAGTTTACGAGAACAGTAGAGTCTAATTCCATATGGTTAAAGAAAATGTACGCATGTGCGTGCACACACACACACACACAGAGTAGTTTCTCGCTAGTCACAGTAGGTCTGTTCTATAAAGAAGCCGCAAGTACTGAGTTAGTGATACTGAATCACCAATCCTAGGAGAAATACAGTTAGGTCCCTGTGAGCCAGTGATCACAGCCTTTCTATAAGCCAATCAATATGTCACTTTGTTTAGTGTATGTTTGTGTTTAAAAGACACTTATTTCATATATATTGTTGATTTTTACCAGGAGGTGAATTCACATTTACAGAATCCATAAATAACGAGGACGGACTGTCTACATTCACAAGCATAGACAAAAAAGCCTGGGAAAATATACACCTCAAAATCATCCAAGAAAGGAGAGACTGAGTGATTCTCATCTCTTTGTTTATCTGTATCTTTTGATTTTTTTTTTTTCCTGTGTTAAGACACTTATTACTTGTCGGGCGCCTGGGTGGCTCAGTTGGTTGGGCGACTGCCTTCGGCTCAGGTCATGATCCCGGGGTCCTGGGATCGAGTCCCGCATCGGGCTCCTGGCTCAGCGGGGAGCCTGCTTCTCCCTCTGACCCTCTCCTCTCTCATGCTGTTTCTCTCTCGCTCACTCTCTAATAAATAAATAAATAAAATCTTTAAAAAAAAAAAAAAGACACTTATTACTTGTCTAACTAAAAAAAAAAAAAAAGATAAAAAGGACAAGAAGGAGCAGACACATAGCAAAAAGACTATATCATTTTAAGAACAGAACACGGGCCCTGCTAATGACTAGCTGTGTGATGAGGCTGAGGCATGAGCTTCTTCCTCCATAAAAGGAAATCATTAGACCAGGTGATCAACAAAGTCCCTCTCAGGGGCAATGACACGACCCCAGAACTCACAAGGCTGCACACAGACAATGAGACTCGGCAACAAGTCGGGGAAATTCTAGATAACCATAAAAGAGAAGTGGGAAGTATATTTTAGGTGAAATGAACAATGCAGCAGATGTAGAAATGAGAATGGGGTCTATGGGGGGACAGTGAGGGAAGTTACAAGTCTGGGGAAGTAAGTTAGACAGGCAGACCAGACAAGATTAGAGAGGACTTTGACAGTCAGGCATTAGAGTCTGGACTTAAAGTGGCAGACAAAAGGAAGGAAGCCACCAAAGTAGCACTATTTTAGAAATGATGATGACAGTATTATTTTTAGAAACATGCTATATAAAAGAGGGACTGATGGGCAGAGGGAGGCCCTGAGGGCTCCAAGTTTTTTTTTTTTTTTTTAAAGATTATTTATTTATTTATTTATTTATTTATTTATTTGATAGAGAGAGACACAGCGAGAGAGGGAACACAAGCAGGGGGAGTGGGAGAGGGAGAAGCAGGCTTCCCGCCGAGCAGGGAGCCCGATGCGGGGCTCGATCCCAGGACCCTGGGATCATGACCTGAGCTGAAGGCAGTCGCTTAATGACTGAGCCACCCAGGCGCCCCTCTGAGTTTTGGTATATTGGTTTAAATAACTGAACTCAAGAGTAGTTACTGAGTACAAATACAGGGACAGCTAATGTGGAGATGGACAACAGGCAACACTTACATAGATATTATTTCAAATTTAAGAACTACGACTTAATATTGACTAAAGATGTACAGGAACAGTCCTAGTGCTCCAAGATTTCTAACCTATAAGATGGGAAGAAAGACTGAGACAGAAATGAAGAGACTGGGACTGAAGATCTCTTTTGGGAAGGAGATCATGACAGGCACGCTGAATGGGATAGGGACCCCACAGATGCCTGTTAGGCAGGCAGCAACTTAAGAAAGGAGCACAGCTGAGAAAAGTGTGAAGGGGCCTGGCTGGTTCAGTCGGTAGAGCATGTGAATCTTAATCTTGGGGTTGTAAGTTCAAGCCCCACGTTGGGGGTGGAGATTACTTAAAATTAAAACCATGGAGGAAAGAAAAAAAGCATAGAGATGTGGCTTTGGGAGGAAGAGGAAAAAAAACAAAACAAAACCCAGAAGTATGGATAAGGTCCAAGGAATTTAGAAAATCAGAGCATAAAGATTATATTTTTTTGTTTTTGTTTGTTTGTTTTTAATATTTTATTTATTTATTTGAGAGACAGAGAGAGAGGAAGGGAAAGCACAGAGGGAGAAGCAGACTCCTCGCTGAGCAGGGAGCCCAATGCAGGGCTTGATCCCAGGACCCTGGGATCATAAGCTGAACTGAAGGCAGATGCTTAACTGACTGAGCCACCCAGGCACCCCAAGATTTTATTTTTGATGATACAACATTTAAATCTTTAAAAAAAACCCGTAATAGGGGTGCCTGGGTGGCTCAGTTGGTTAAGCGGCTGCCTTCGGCTCAGGTCATGATCCCAGGGTCCTGGGATCGAGCCCTACATTGGGCTCCTTGCTCCGCGGGAAGCCTGCTTCTCCCTCTCCCACTCCCCCTGCTTGTGTTCCTGTTCTCACTGTGTCTCTCTCTGTCAAATAAATAAATAAAATCTTAAAAACTAAATAAAACAAAACCCATGATATTCTTTACTTGATAACATACCTTATTTATTTCTTGTGTTAGAGCTTGAACTGAATATATGTTCAGACTTCCATTTTCCATAATAGATGCAATGTACCGTCCATGTGGGCTAATTACTGATGAGCTAATTCCTTCATCAAGGCTCCCAATTTCAAAGAGAAGTTTACAAGTCTGTATATTAACAAATCTCATTATACCATCTTGACTTAGCACTCCAAGAACCTAAGAGTAGAGAGAAACAATATATGAGTTCCAAAAACACATTTAAAAGTCCAATGTCTCAGACATTAACTAGACTTATTATAGTGATCATTACACAATGTATATAAATATCGAATCATTATGAAGCTAACATTTTATGTCAATTATAACTCAATTTAAAAAAAAGTCAACTCCCTAAACATCAAACTATACACATTTACACATACATATGTGTATGTAGCTATATATGGAGGGTTTTTTTTTGTTTGTTGGGGGGGAAGATTGTCAGAGATTATATTCGCAAAGAGCCATCATGTATTTCAAAATCTCTAATTATGGCTCATGTACATTAGCCCTATTGAGGTCCAGATAAGCCTGACTCTGACCAGAACCAGCAAGGTGCCCATCCTGAGAGACTATGGCAGGGAGCATCTGTACTAATCCCTTCAGAGGGAATACAGATGATTAGACAGTCCTTAACTGTGACCTCCACTCTAGTTGTCAGAGGCAAGGAGGGGGGAGCGTTTGTTTTCCTTTACCATCCCCACAGCTTGATCAGAACTAGCATTTGTCCTGCTGCCCCTACATAAACCTGACTCTGGCAGGTGTAACACTTGGGGAATGGAGAAAAGAAAGTCTGTGGGCTGCAAGGAAGGGTAAGAAGGAATCTAGCTTTTAAAGGGGGAAAAACTTAGTTTTAATTCACGTAATTTGAAAAACTGAAAACATGTACTAAAAAAGCGTAAGTCAATACACAACAGACCCCTTTACTGCCTTGTCTACGCATGGGTTCTTTCCCCAATGCCGGAGCTGGCAAGCTGTGCCACCATGGACTGCACGAGATGCTGATGTCACTTGCTACATGAAAGACGACAGCCTGGAAGTGGCTGGAGACAGTCTGAAGGTGGCAATCTCTTCTGTTGGGTCAGGCTGTAGGAAACCCCCTCACTCACAGCTGATGCAACCTTTCTAGAGGGCAATTTGGCAAGATCCTTAAAATTACAGATGCACATAATCCTAATACTACTATTTCAACTCTGGGATTTTATCCTATGGAGAGGATGTATGAAATGGTGTGTGCAAAAAGTTATTCAGTGCACCATTATTTGTTTGTTTGTTTAAGATTTTATTTATTTGAGAGAGAGAGAGAGAACACAAGCAGGGGGAGGGGCAGAGGAAGAGGGAGAAACAGACTCCCTGCTGAGTGCGGAGGGCTCAATGTGGGGCTCGATCCCAGGACCCTGAGATCATGACCTGGGCCGAAGGCAGACGCTTAACCAACTGAGTCACCCAGACACCCCTCAGTGCACCATTATTTGTAATAAAGAAGGACTAAAAACAGGCTAAGTGCCCAATAACAAAGCACTGGTTAAAAAACTATGAAATACTGTGCAGCTGTAAAAAAAAAAAAAAAAAATGAAGTTCTCTACTGACCATCTTCAAGGTCAATAATTAAGTGAAGAAAAGCCAAAAAAAAAAAAAGTGAAGAAAAGCAAGGTGCAAAGCTGCATAAGAAAGTGGGAGAAACAGGAGTGTTATAACAACAGTAGTTATGGAGAGTGAGTAACTGGGCAAATGGGAGAGAAGAATAAGAGATTTCACTTCATTGTCTTTTTATTTATTTATTTTTTATGTTTTCAACCTTGTAAATGCATTATCTATTCAAAAAATTTAAGTTGGGGTACCTGGCTGGCTCGGCTGGCAGAGCATGCAACTCTTAATCTCAGGGTCATGAGTTATATATAACTTGTTAAAGTACGCGACTCAAAACAGTCAATTTAAAATAAGAAAGTTAAGGTTTGACTACTCAACTATTAAAAAGAAAAATGGTATGAGGATGCCTGGCTGGTTCAATCCATAGAGAATGTGACTCTTGATCTCAGGGTCATGAGTTCAAGCCCTATGCTGGGCGTGGAGTCTACTTTAAAAAAATGAATAAAATACATAAGCAAAGAAAATTTTTACAAAATAGTATGTAGAGGGAGGAATATTTTGTAAACTAAGGCAAGATACAAAGAAAACATGCTTCATAAAACTCAGGCAACAAGTTATGGTAGACAAAACAGTACAACATAGAGAAAACTTTAATTCTACTCCCCCCTTTAATCCTTACAATTAATAGGAAGGTTGACAAGTCACTTAATGATTCTAAGCTTTAATGTCAGTCTATTTAATGGTGAGAATACCTTCCCTATACGCAAATAAAAAATAACATGCTAAAGCACCCAGTAAACCATAAAGCATGACATAAATTTAAAGTATACTGATTTTAGAAAAAGGGTTAATTGTCAGTAATATACAGAACCTAATAATGTAAATTTTTTTCAATTTTAGACTCTTCATAATCTTAGCAATTTCAAGTCCTTGTAATAATCACGGTACAAGAGCAAAGATGGTTCAGAAATTATACAATGTCCTACCTTTATATTACTAACCTGATTGGAACCAGCATCAAAACTATCAGGGAGAAATTCTAGGTGGCGGATGGCTCGAACCTTAGTAGGCATCTGAATAATTCTGAATAGCTGTTTAGCTTCCAAGCACCACAAGTGAAGATGATTTGATTTCCCTCCAGCGGCCAGGATTCGACCATCTCTGCAGAACAAAAGGTGAGAAAGTACAACTAAGTGGACTGTTTACAGCAGTACTGTCCAATATGATCCAACAGGATAGAAATGTTCTCTATCTGTGCTGCCCAATATGCTCACTACTGGCCACATGTGACTGAGAACTTGAAATGTGGCTAATGCTTCTGAGGAAATAAAATAATTTCATTTAATTTTTACTAAATAGTCCCATGCATACAGTGGCTACCATACAGGAAAGCTCAGGTTTACAGCATATATATATTTTTTTACCTATTGTACTAAGACACCAGCTTAACAAGTACTTGTTTGATGACTTGATTGAGGATTTCTGAGTAACATTTATCTTTTATAGCATAATCTCAATCCAACTTCCTATATTTCACACAGGACTATACTGAGTTGGTACAGCACCGATACATGAAAAACCCAAAAACTCCAACTTTTTTTTCCTGCTCAAAGCAAGCTACTTTTATAAGGTACGAGAAGAATAAGCTGTATTAACTTGCAATGCTGTTGCTCATTCATTCACCAAGGACTTGTAAAGTGTCTATTACAAGCCAGGTATCATCTCAGGCACCAGGGACACAATGGTGAACAAGGCAGGTGGGATCCCTGCTCTTGTGGAATTTTTTAGTCTAGAGGAAGGGAAGCAAAAAAATGAACTTGATCTCAGCTGATGATAGTTCTATAAAGAACTACAAAATGAGATGGGAGTTATAGAGTTGGGAAAGGAGGAAGGTCTGCTCCCTAAAAAATGTGAATGAGCCAGTTAAGGGATGATTCGGAGGAAGAATTTCATGCTGGTTGGTATTCCAGACTGGTTGACACGTGAGTGTTCAGAAAGGAATAAGGTCAGCCACCTAAGGAAGAGAGAGAAGTCACACTCAAGTGTGGCTGGAATTGTGTTACAGGAAAAGGAAACAGGAGGAAAGACAGGAAAACTAAGGCCAGATGACAGAGGCCTCAGGGATATTATGGGGAGTTTGGGTTTTATTCTAAATACAAGGGAAAGCCTTTCAAGGGAGTTCAATAGGGAAGTGTCACGATTTGACTTATGACTTAAAAAGACCACTCTATCAGAGCGCCTGGGTGGCTCAGTCAGCTCAGCTCAGGTCTTGACCTCAGGGTCCTGAGTTCAAGCCCCGCATTGGGCTCCACACTGGGCATGGAGCCTACTTAAAAAAAAATTAAAAAAACAAAAAAACAAAAAAACCCCGAAACCCCCCACTCTATCTGCTATGTAGAGACTGACTTTAGGAAATGGAATTGAGGGGCACCTGGGTTGCTCAGTCAGCTAAGCATCTGCCTTTGGCTCAGGTCATGATCCCAGGATCCTGGGATTGAGTCCCACATTGGGCTCCCTACTCATCGGGGAGCCTGCTTCTCCCTCTCCTCCCCACTCATGTTCTCTCTCTCTCTAAATAAATAAAATCTTAAAAAAAAAAAAAAAAGGAAATGAAATGAAATGAAGTTGAAAACAAGGAGACTATTACAGGAGTCTGAAAGAGACCAGGGTAGTTGGAGTAGGTAATAGCCGTGACAATGCACAAGATCAGACCAAGTTAAGATCTCATTTGGTGCAACTGATGGGATTTATTCATGGCTTAGAAGAGGGTGAGAGAAAATAAGGAAATAACATATATTTTCTAGCTCTTCCACTGAAAAGGCCTAGAGACAATGACCGAATCAGTCACAAGGAGTACCCCTAGCATCCAGGTTAGGTTCTGAAATATCATTACCCACTAAAACGAACCCAGGCGCTTTAGAAAAATGGCCAATTCCAGGTTTGGGACAGAAAATGTGTAAGATAAGCCTGGAATATCTCGTCAGATGAGAAAGAATGAGAGCATTCAAAACAGACAACTGGAGTTTTATCAAAGGGGCTCAGAGCCAACTTGAAAGGATCCCAGTGGCCAAAGATGAGAGAACTGGAGCATCACTAAGAATAATGTCAATGGATTAAATCATGTCGACTATGTTTAAATCATTCATTCACAAAGATTAAAGGCAAAGCCTTCATTGACCACCTCTGAAAGATGCTAATAAACCAACCCATTATTTTTCATAAAAAAATTTTGAGGGGCACTTGGGTGGCTCAGTTGGTTAAACTTAGTCTGACTCTTGATCTCAGGGTTGTGGATTGAGCCCCACATTGGGCTCCATGCTGGGCATGGAGCCTACTTTAAAAAAAAAATTTTTTTTTTAAAGACAGGGAAATCAAGCATTTATCCTGCCTTTCCTTTGCAACTAACTAGTAACCAGAGAGTTGATGAGAAGAAGTTCCTTTCTATAGAAGGTTTCTAGTAAATAAGGGAAAAAGGAATGACAGAATTAGCATAGCACCATTTTGCTAACCTCTAATGCAATACTCATTCTAGGTCATGATCATCGATGGCCACTAATATCACAAGAGAAGTGTTCGTCTGATGAAAGTACACAAACCACCTATCATTATCATGTCTTCCTGACCCCAAATCAAATCTGAATCAGACCAAGCCTCCAATTTACAGGAAATATAGGTATGACCAGTATACAAGAAACATAGACAAAAGAGGATCATATTAAACACCAATGCAGGGATGCAAAAAGCAAAACCTGAAATACAGAGAGTGCTATAGGACAAATGACCAGTTCCTTAACAAATAAATTGCAAGGAAAACATTAAAAAAGGGATATATCATCCAAGACACTGTGTGAACCTTGTTTGGTTCCTGATTTGAACAAAGACTAGATATTTGACAATATTAAGAAATTATTCATTTTTTTAAAAAGATTTATTTATTTATTTGAGAGACGGTGAGCGAGAGAGAGAGCATGAGTGGAGGGAGGGGCAGAGGGAGGGAGAGAAGCAGACTCTCCCGCAGAGCAGGGAGACCGATGCAGGGCTCGATCCCAGGACCCTGGGATTGTGACCTGAGCCGAAGGCAGATGCTTAACCAACTGAACCACCCAGGTGCCCCAGAAATTATTCATTTTTAAAAAGTGTGATAAAAGGGTTAATGAACTGGAATTTAAATAAAAACTTGAAAAAGAAAAGTGACAATAGTACTATGGTTATGTTCCAAAAAGGACCCTTTCCTTCAGAGATACACACTGAAATATTTACGGATGAAATGATCCTGCTTGGGCTTTGCTTTAAAGCAACGCAGTAGGTAGTAGGAGGTAGTAACAGGTTGAGTTATAGATAAAATAAAAGTGGCTATAAGTTATTACAGCTAATGAGAACGCTATAATTAGGGTTTCCTGTATTTTTATATTTTTGCGTACATTTGAAATTTGCCAAAATAAGTTAAAAAGTTCTACAGAACATATATAAGTTTGAAGGAAAATTTTCTCATATGAGTGAGATAATGAAAATTTGTAATATTTTCCTAGAAGCTAGATTTCTTAAATTCTCAGTATTTTAAAAATGTACATTTGGATCAGAGAGGGAGACAAACCATAAGAGACTCTTAACTCTAGGAAACAAAGTGAGGGTTGCTGGAGGGGAGGTGGGTGGGGGTGTGGGGTAACTGGATGATGGGTATTAAGGAGGGCACGTGATGTGATGAGCACTGGGTGTTATATGCAACTGATAAATCACTGAACTCTACCTCTGAAACTAATAATACGCTATATGTTAACTGAATTTAAATAAAATACAAATTTTTTTAAATGTACATTTGGGGTGCCTGGCTGGCTCAGTTGGAGGAGTGTATGACTCTTGATCTGAGGGTCATGAGTTAGAGCCCCACACTGAGTATAGGGATTACTTAAAAATAAATAAATAAACTTAAAAAAAAAGTGAAATGCACATTACCTGGTCACGGCAAATACTTTGTATAATATACTAGAACTTTCAGGTGGAGCTGGTAATTGATATCTGCAAGAAAGAGTATCACATTCCCAGGCAAAGATGGAATTATCTTTAAAACAGCTGAGGATGGTATTACTTAATGGTAAAAAGAAAACCTAAAGAGGGAGAAAAACAGTTATTGTTCATATAGCCCATAGCCCTCTTTATATTTAAAATTATACAAGTTGTCAATTTTTTTTTAAAGATTTTATTTATTTATTTGACAGAGGGAAACACAGTGAGAGAGGGAACACAAGCAGGGGGAGTGGGAGAGGGAGAAGCAGGCTTCCCGCAGAGCAGGGAGCCCGATGTGGGGCTTGATCCCAGGACCCTGGGATCCTGACCCGAGCCGAAGGCAGACGCTTAACGACTGAGCCACCCAGGCGACCCACAAGTTGTCAATTTTTGTTTTAAAAAATTACTTTTTCTTAAACTGGAAAAAATATACATTTATGACATACGATGGGATAATACTGATATCTCATATACTATTATAAAACTGAAAGGAAAAGGTAAAACCCTTTAAATAAAAAAATTGGGGGGGCACCTGGGTGGCTCAGTTGGAGGAGGGTGCGACTCGATCTTGGGATCATAAGTTCAAGCCCCATGTGGGATGTAGAAATTACTTAAATAAAACTTAAAAAAAGACTGATGAGAGAGAGAATGCATGCCCCAATGAAGAATGAGGTATAAAAACAGTAAGTTTCTAAAATAACCTGAAAGCCAGGCGCCTGGGTGGCTCAGTTGGTTAAGCGACTGCCTTCAGCTTAGGTGATGATCCTGGAGTCCTGGGATCGAGTCCCATATCGGGCTCCCTGCTCGGCGGGGAGTCTGCTCCTCCCTCTGACCCTCCCCCTCTCTCATGCTCTCTCTCTTTCTCTCTCTCATTCTCTCTCTCTCAAATAAATAAAATAAAAACTCTTAAAAAAAATCGGGGACTAAAATGACTAGGTAATTCATAAAATACAAAGTAACAATTTTAAAATATTTAACCTTATAGAAGATTCAAGTGTAAATATTGATAGCATTTTATATGTATCAAATTGACTTTAAAAATAACATACATAAATACATACGCTAACATATGTACTCTATAAACTACTTACTACTATAAAATGACATGAAATACTAACTACTCATAAAGATTACAAATATTAAATGTTGGTGAGAGTGTAGGACACAGGCATTGTCCTACTGGGATGCTGGTAATAAAAACTGGCTACAGATACTATATAATGTATCTCAACAGCCTTGAAAATACATAACTCTTCTGAACTAGTCAATCTGCTTCTAAGAGCTAATCCTTTGGAAGAAAAAAATCAGCAAAGTGCTTTAAGATAAATGTATACAAAAGTTTGTTGAGCATTATTTATGATGTTTTATTAGTGACTCACTTTGTGCAATGGACAATTGTGACTGAACCTGATATCAAAGTTGGAAATACCACTTTCTATTTTTCTATTACATAAGCTCTACACAATGCTGACTTTTGATAATACAAAGTTTTAGTTAAAATTCACCATTTTCTCGTAAGAATTTCAATGGCCTCCAGTATGATTTTGTGTGTCATTTCTGTAAAGCACACAAAGGGAGGGAGGGAAGGAAAAAGAAAGAAGGAAAGAAAATGGAAGAAACCTGTGCCCTAGGAATACCATATTCCTGCCCATCTTCTCAAAATAATCTCCCCAAATAGCCTGGGACATTTCACATGGTTAAATCCTTAGTTACATCTCCAGCTCTTTATTCTTTGATTCCCACCGAGAATAGCCTTCTTAACTGCAAAACAGCTTACTGTAATACTTCATATTTGAATATATTTCGTCCTTGTTTCCGCCAGTTTGTCTTTACAAGCTTTATTCTTTTTTTAAGAATATATGATTTGGTCTTGTGTTGGAGAGGAACAGGGACTCACTGAGGAGGCAGAACACCTTGAACAACTTGCAGCCTCTTATTCCGACCCCTGATTGGTCACACACCTTCACCATTTACTAGTGTCAGAAGGAGGCCTGTTTTCTCTGAAATGCTACATTCTTTGGGGATGAAGTGTTCAACATCTCGAACACTGGAATGTCTCTGGAGTATTTACAATCTGGAGGCTGTCAGCACGGTAATGAGAGGGGGCAGACCGAAAATGGCCAGGGGAAAAGCAGGCTCAACACCAAATCTACCGCAGCTTTCTCCAGCGTTACAAACATAATGAATCAATAAGGCACCTAAATGAAATACTTCTGCAACCTTGCATCTAATTTGTGTTGTCACTTAGCCTACTATGTATATATACAGTTAAGAAATGATTCTAATAGTTAATGATATTACTATAAAAACTTCACAGGAATTGAAACCCCTAATTATTTTTAATAGTTTTGTTGTTGTTTTTTTTCCTTAGAGGTGGAGGGAGGGGCAGAGGGAGAGAATATCTTAATCAGGCTCCATGCCCAGCGCGGGCCCGACACAGGGCTCCATCTCACAGCCCTGAGCCGAAATCAAGAGTTGGATGCTCAACTGACTGAGCCACCCAGGCACCCCAAGAAACCTGTAATTTTTATAACAATAGTTGAAGGCTATTATCACAAACTACTTTTCTCATATACATACAACAGTATCTTTTAAAATAGTAAATAGTGCTAAAAAACCACAATGCATGCATACACACATACATAATGCATGATGGGACTTACTGGTTAATTAAAACAATCTACTCAGTGTTAATGGTAATAAGGCACAATAAAAAATGCTAATTTGACTGCTGTCCTTGCCTGATTCAACACTCGCTTTTGTCCTTGGCTCGCTTTGTCAAAGACAATCTCTGGTAGACTGCCAACAGATTCAGGAAGATTTATAATAGAAAAGTCTTATTGAAAGAATATGCGATAAATACACTGTGATCTATAATCAATGCACTGAAACACTGTTTGAAAGCCAATGTTGAAAAAAGTGACTTAATATTTTTATTATAATTAGCAATATTTTTCTAGAAAAGTAATAAAGTTTATTCCTACTGGAAGAAGCAAAAGCTTAAAAGTTAATGAACACCAACTGCTATTTTAGGGGAATAGCTGTGACAGATTATTGCCTACATGATTATTCATTACTAGATTTGTGATTTTAATTGCAGATTTTAATGATTATAAAATTGTTCCTAATGAATCATGTCATTATTTAGATAGTGTCATCTCTTGACAATCATAAAAAGCTTAGAAAAAAAATTTAAGGGCGCCTGGGTGGCTCAGTTGGTTAAGCGACTGCCTTCGGCTTAGGTCATGATCCTGGAGTCCCAGGATCGAGTCCCGCATCGGGCTCCCTGCTCGGCAGGGAGTCTGCTTCTCCCTCTGACCCTCCTCCCTCTCATGCTCTCTCTCTGTCTCTCATTCTCTCTGTCTCAAATAAATAAATAAAATCTTTAAAAAAAAAAAATTTAAAAGCACTAACAAAATATACTTTTTGAAGGGTTGGGTAAAAGGGTAGGGCTGCAGTTTTTCCTCATAAAATATGAAAATGCTAGGCTTTCCAACTCACTTTGAGAGGGATGTGAGTCCTTGTATAGCCCAGGAGCTAAGAATGGTTTTCACACTTTAAAATTATTTCATTGTAGATGGTTAAATAAGTATATACCTAATATCCTCAATTTTGCTCTTAGTCTGCAAAACCAAGAATATTTACTATCTGGTCCTTTGAGAAAAAGTTTGCAGGTAATGTAGAGACTATGATGTTCTATTATTTTAGAACAATATACCTTTTCAGGTTGAGAGTTCAGTACGGTAATAAAGAGCAAGTTAAGTCAAATGCACAATTCAGCAGAAATTTAGTGAGCACCCACTGTATACAGAGACTAAACTAAGTTTAGTAACACGTTCTTTGTTAAATGTTATCTCATATCCATCACTAAACCTTTTCCAATACATACTGAACCATGGTAATCAGATACCCTAGGATTTATTCAAAAATCCCAAACTAAATATTTAATTTAAACATTCTACCTCAAACATCAACAAAATAATCAAAATTTACTAATATGAAGAGGTGTAACTGGCTTATCCAAGAGGCAGTATGGTATAATGGAGTGACTCTGGAATAAGACAGGCTTAGATTCAAACCACAAATCTTTGGAAAGCTATGTGACACTGGGCACATTACTTAATATTTCTGAACTTCAGATTCCCCATTTGTAAAATGAGAGTAGTATCTACTTTTAGGATTATTTAAGTTTAAAAATAACTAAACAAAATGTTAGGTACATAGTAAATATTCAACAATTGGTATCTATTGCTATTGGTATTGATTATTCCTATTGCCAGGTACAAAAACCAGTGGAAAAATGTTGGAATGATAGGTTCTTTAAAAACATTTTTGAAATCAGGGGCGCTTGGGTGGTTCAGTTGGTTGAGCGCCTGACTCTTGATTTTGGCTCAGGCCATGATCTCAGGGTGGTGAGATCGAGCCCTGCACTGGGCTCCATGCTCAGCGGGGAGTCTGCTTGAGATTCTCTCTCCCTCTGCCCCTCCCCCTGCTCACGCATGTGCTCTCTCGCTCTTGAAATAAATAAAATCTTAAAAAAAAAAAGAAAAACATTTTGAAATCAAAGGTCCACAGTTATTTTTCCGAAACCCTTGGTGTTAGATGTGTTCCAGAATTCAGAATTACTTCCGATCTGGAAAGGTAATATGATGTATATTCTGTAACAGTATGTAGAACCCCTGGGTGACCCGAGGCAACACTCTATGACTCAAACATATTAACATTTCAGCCCCTGTCAGTTCAGTTCAGGTTTTGCTGCCAAATGAGTTCAGGCAAGATCGGATTTTGCCGCCAAGTGAGTTATTTGAAAACTTTTGGGTTTCTGAATTGCTAATGAGGTATTATTCATCTATTTCATGTAGTTCAAAAGAGACAGAACAGTGACCTTACAGCTTTTTAAAAGGATAACTAAGTGCACTGAGATAATCCCACAGTAGGACCAGGTAACAGGTAAGAACAGCGGACAAGAGCAGAAGCATCAGCAGCTGCCGCGGCGCCGGTTCTAAGCACCTGCTACAGCACAGCAGGTGCTAGCGGGCAGGTGCTAGGGATCAGCTATCACACTCCGTCCTGAGGCCAACCCTGAGACACGTGAGGCTACATGTGCCTCCTACACATCAGGCGAAGAGCTCGTCGACAGCGCTGAGCGGGAATCTACTGGAAACTTTAGACTTAACTTCTGGCTTTACTAGAAATACAAATGAAAGAATAAGTTAAATGACATAATGATGATCAGTAAGACAAATTCAGAATTTGGGGCATTTTCCAGGACAACTGGCCTGATTGCTCTCAAGATAAATAAATGAATAAATAATAATGTCATGGGAAAAATGGTAGAAGGCTATTTTATTTTTAAAGCTTTATTTATTTGAGAGAGAGAGAGAGAGAGGGCACGTGTCTGGGGGGCGAGGGGGGAGGCAGAGGGACAGGGCGGCAGAGAATCTTAGGCAGACTCGCCACTGAGGGCAGAGCCCAAAGCAGGGCTTGATCTCACCACCCTGAGATCATGACCTGGGCCAAAATCAAGAGTCGGACGCTTAAACGACTGAGCCACCCCAGTGCCCCAGCAGAAGACTATTGTAGATTAAAAGGAGCCATCATAAAACGAGACTCACGGCATCATTTGTCACCATGTATCACACACACACACAAAAAGTCACAAAAGTTCTCTTTAAAATACAGAATCAGAAACTGGAAGAAAAACAGATTTAGCAAAAACTTGGTAAGAATAAGATTAGTTTACAATTACTTCCTATTTTCAATAGAATAAGCTAGGAATGACAACAATCTGGCCTCTTCAGTCCTTGTATAGCCCAGGAGCTAAGAATGGTTTTTACACTTCAAAATTATTTCATTGTAGATGGTTAAATAAGTATATACCTAATATCCTCAATTTTGCTCTTAGTCTGCAAAACCAAGAATATTTACTATCTGGTCCTTTGAGAAAAAGTTTGCAGGTAATGTAGAGACTATGATGTTCTATTATTTTAGAACAATATACCTATATGCATACTGCATACGATACATATATTTTCTAACTTTTATTCTCATATTGCTAACATTTAGAGTCCTATCTTTTAAACTAAAATGTCTAAATGACCAAGCAGGGTTAGAATTGGCAACGATCCAGCATCTAGTAATTTTAATTTCATGGTAAAAAGAACAGATGGTTTTTGTGTCACTGTTTCATAACTCTATTTCCATTGTGGGTTCATTTCCCAATATGCTCTTCTTTGGAATTTAGAATTCAATTTAGTGCTGAAGCAATTAAAGAAGAAAAGACCTACTAAGATATTTGGCCTAACCCCCTGAAGAATAAGCTGACTACAACTTTTATCTTTTTTAAATTATTAAAGGCAATCTAAAGAACTCTGAGATTTCCATAGAGACTACAAAATAAATTTCTGGTTGACATGCACTGCTAGCTGTTCACGTTAATGACCAAGATATTAAAAGCAATACTGCGCATATAATATAACCTGAAGCAATAGAATGAATCACACGGGAGACTCAGACAATCCCAAAAATAGTATTAGGCTAATCAAATGGAAAAAAAAAATTAAGCCTTAGAAGCTTAAAAAAAAGCAATAGAAGTGTATATTTTTTAAAAAGTGATATATGTATACAATGGAATACTGATCAACAATAAAAAGGAATGAACTACTGCTATGTCCAAAAACATGGATGAATCTCAAAACCATCACACGGAAGGAGAAAAGCTTTACACATACCATTACTGACTAGCTCTATTTATTTGAAATTTTAGGACAAAACTAATCTACGGTAGAAAAACATCAGGACAGTGCTTCCCTGGGAAGGGATAGAAGAGAACTTTCTGGGATGATGGTAGTAATAGGTCTGCACAGGTTACAAAAGTGTATGTATTTGACAAAACTTAACAAATGAATACTTAAGATTTGTGCATTTCATTATATATAAATTTCACATCAGCAAATACTGAGCCCTAGTCAATTAAATTCAGGCTTAAGTATTTATGGGCAAGTATACTGACATCACAATTCACTTAAAATGAAAAAGAAAAAGAATAAATGGACAGAAAATGGATAGATCCATAATACAGTATAGGGACATAAGTACAGTAAAGGATAATATAGGAACATGTTAATGGTAGAATCTAATGGTGCACATGGGTTCACTTTGAAACTCTTACAAATTTATGTTTGAAATTTTTTAAGACAAAAACTCAGTAAGTTATAAACTGTAGCCACAGGCAACATCTTCAATCCCGTGGGCCACTCGGCTTTGCGTGTGGCTGGTTAGGAGAACACAGTTTGTCGGACAAAGTGAATCATTCACTACTCTTCTATCATCTATAAATCCTGCTGACCAAGAAACTGGTCTGAGAAGCACAACAGACCAAGATGCGCCCCACCTCCACTGACCTTTTGGATACCCACAGACTGTAGAATATTCAGCTTTCTTTTCCTCTGAAAGGTATCCAAGTCCCATAGCTGGGCCGTGTCGGAAGAAGTAGTGATGGCGTATCTCCCTGAGGCATGCACAGAGATCGAAAACACTGATGACTCATGGCCTCTCATCCAGCTAACAAGCTCCTTGGTAACTGTGGTAAAGAGTAAAAGTTACACAGGTAAAACACTCTATGTCATCCCAGAATGGATTCGATCGATGGCTAGGTTTTTATGAGACACCTTCATTACACTACACTACAAAAGTAAAAGCTTAGTTGGCTAGTTGATAAAACGCACAATGGAACTCATTAGTAACATGAATATCATCGACACGTGAGGAGATGAGGCCAAATGAAAAAGGGCTTAAGAACAGCTTTCAATGTGACAATAGGGAGTTTGGGCTTTCTCTTGGGAGGCATAGTTTTGTGTAGAAGAGTATCATATCTGGTGTGTATTTTAGAGCGAGCACTTTGAAGGTACATGGTGGATACATTGGGAAGAAGGAAGAGATTAGACAACTGATTTATTTGTTGCTGTGATAATCCAGGGAGGAGATAAGGAAGGTCTACACAAAAAATGTGACAATGGAGAAAGAAACAAATTCAAGAGCTATGAGGGAGAAATTCAAAGGACTTTGTGATCAAATAGATGTGCTGAAATAAAGGATGAGGTAAGTCTTCAGTGGTTCTAGCTTAGTTATCTAACGAGATGGCGATATTAGTAACTGATTTAAGAAGTACATGAGGAGAAACAGATCCAGCAGTGTGGGAAGAAGTGATCATGAATTTGATTCTTAAAACTGATCCTGAGGTGTGTGCATGCATGTGTGAGAGAGCAACACAGAAAACAGCTGGCAAATACCGAAAACATCACGACAATTATCACTGGGTCATAGAATTATTAGTGATTTTTATGTTCTCTTTACATTTTCCTGTGTTTCCAAATTTGCTATGGTAGGCAAGTTTTACTTTCATGATCAGAATTTTTTCCTCCAGAAAGATGAAACTGAGGAGAATAGTCCGAAAGCAAGATGTAAATCTGGGAAGCATTAAGACACAAAGTAGGTTAAAACTGAAAACAGAGGGAAGAGAGAGAAACCCCTGGGGAGAGAGCAGTAGTTTCCAAACACCAGTCTAAAGTCTGGCATTAGTTAATGATCAACTTTTCACTGGTCTTCAGTGAAATGAGGAAAAAAAAGGATGATGAAATGAGGTTTTCATAAAGCTAAATTTAAAGTACTACCTTTTAATTGAGTATTATATCCTTCTAAGTTTCTTTATGTTAAAAAAAACTCACTTCGTGAAATGAAATTCTACTGTTTTTTCCAATGTCATTTAGCAAAATTAAAAGCTGACAACCCATGTGGGTTGTTCTCTACTTTTTCTTTTTAACTGAGTGAAAAATCCAAAAGTCTAGGGACCACTCAAATAACCCAGGAGAGAGCCTAGTAAGAAGCAGTCAGAGAGGTAGGAGGAGAACCAAGAGAGAGAAGAGTATGAAAACTAAGGTCCTGCCCTAATGCAAAGTACTAAATGCTACTGAGAGGTAGAATGAAAAGTACAAAGAGGGTTTCAACAATCAGAGGTTACTAAGGACCTTAGAGGAGTAGGAGTGGGGGGGAGCAAGAATCAGAATCCGCTGTTGGAAGCTGTCAGGATTTAGCAGTGAAGAGGGAGGTGGTCGGGGAGGTGGCGACAACATTGTAAGGAAGGGCTTCATTGGCGGGGGAAGGGGTTCAACAGACAGAAGAGACTGTAAGAAGATGGACCTGGGAAGGGAGAAGAGGAGAATGGATGGAGTCCAAGGGAAGCAATCACAGATGAGTATAAACATTTAGTTTTTCAGAATTTCTGTGACAGTAGGGTCTGTAACCAAAAACTGGAGACAGTTTAAAGTCCACTGATAGGTAACAGGTTTAATAATTATGGTACTGCCAACACCTACAGAGTAGAGTATTACATGCTGATTTTAAAATACTGCATGCATTTTTAATGAGGTAAGAAAATGATTCCACAAAACAATCTAGATAGGATGATCATGTTTGTTAGAATGTACAAGAGGTGGGGCGCCTGGGTGGCTCAGCTGGTTAAGCCTCCAACTCTTTGTTTGGGCTCAGGTCATGATCTCCGCATCGTGAGATGGAGCCCTGCATCATCAGGCTGCCTGCTCAGCAGGGAGTCTGCTTGAGAGCCTCTCTCTCTCCTTCTGCCCTCCCTCCCTGTTTGTGTGCGTGCATTTCATGTTTTCTCTCTCAAACAAACAAATAAATAAAATCTTAAAAAAAAAAAAGACCGTAGGGCGCCTGGGTGGCTCAGTTGGTTAAGCGACTGCCTTCGGCTCAGGTCATGATCCCAGAGTCCTGGGATCGAGTCCCACATCAGGCTCCCAGCTCAGCGGGCAGCCTGCTTCTCCCTCTGACCCTCTCCCCTCTCATGCTGTTTCTCTCTCTCTCAAATAAATAAATAAATAAATAATCTTAAAAAAAAAAAAAAAGACCGTAAAAGAGATATATGCAGAAAAAACAGACTGGAAAGATAGGTCCCTACTATAAAAACATGGACTGCATCTGGGTTTTACTGAAGGATGACTAGTTTGTCTTCTTACAAGCAGTGAGGGCATAGTAGTGATTAAGAGCAGGGCCCCTGGAGCTAGGCTTCCAGGTTAGGAATCCTGGCTCCACTGCTTACAAGCCGTGGGACCTTGGTCAAGTTACTTCTGTGCCTCAGTCTCCTCATCTGCGAAATGGAAATAATATCATCCACATCTGTGGGTTTTATGACAATTAAAATTAATATGTATAAAGTCACAGAACAGTACCTGGCAAAGAGTAAACACTATGTAAGTGTTAGCTATCACAAATATTACTATGGTTATTATTATCTTTCTTTTTTAAAAAGATTTTATTTATTTATTAGAGAGAGAGAGAGAGGGAGAGAGAGCATCCTGAGATCATGACCTGAGCTGAAACCAAGAGTCGGACGCTTAACCAACTGAGCCACCCAGGCGCTCTGGTTATTATTATCTTTCTACATATTCTATCAATTACTATAATAACAAGAAAAAACAATACAGTTGAGATATCTTTTTTCTTAAGAGCTTCAGTTTACCGAACTCTAAATTCTCTAAAAATATACGATGTGGTATACAATACATAAGATATATTGAGAAGGTTATTATTCTTGTACCTAAGTACTAAGGAACCGGGGCTTTGTCCAGGTTCCTGGGAGGCAATCTCTAAACCCCCAGCCTCCCCAGTGACACAGTGTCTCTGTTATTCATGGCAGGCCCCTCAGGCAATAGCAGCTGGCTGACCTAAGGAGAGAACCTCAGAGTGGGGCTGGCCACATGGGAAAGACCAACTGTGGGAGTGACTGGAAGGCTGGGGCTTTGGGTCACATGATATTCGCCCAACCTCCAGAGAGAGGAGGAGGGCTGGAAATTAGAGTTCAAACCAGTAAGCAATAATCCAACCAGTCATACCTGTCATGGAGCCTCCATAAAAAGCCCTGGACCTCAAAGCTTAGGTGAATTTTTGGTTTGGCAATACTCAGCATGGACAGCCACTTACTGATGCTGGGAGGGTAATGTGTCCCTAAGGATAATGGCAGCTTCTCTTCTGGGAGCCTCCCACATTCTACCCCATTCATCCTTCCTTTTGGCTGGTTTGAATTTGTAACCTGCTGCTGCAGTAAAACTGTAATTGTAAGCAGAGTGCTTTCCTTAGTTCTGGGAGTCATTCTAGTGAATTATCAAACCTGATGGTAGTTGTGGGGAACCCTGAGTTTGTAAACAGCTGATCTGATGTGAGGATGGTCCCGGGACCCCTAAACTTGCAGGTGATGTCTGCAGTGAGACAGACTGGCAAACTCCTTGCAGTACCTCAGTCTAAATTTGACTCTTATTCAAAAGATAAATAGGAGGACTTCTTACCTGTATCGAAACATTTAATAGAATAATCAGCTAATGCCACAAGGAATTCAGACTTCCTACGGAGATTAAAGGCCAGAGCCGTGCAAGCTTGTGCTGTTCGCTGAACAAGATTAAACCTATTAAGAGATTACTGCATTAGTATCAGAAATTCTTCCAATAATCATAAATCTTACGTTGGAGAAGTCCTCAGATATGAAGAAAATGAAACCCAGAAAAACGAACCCTCATTTTGGTAGGCCAGAAACACATCTGTCTGCCACATACACGAATTTGGAATTTACTTAACAGGTTTTAAGCTTAGTGGAATTACCACCAGCCATGTCTTTCAGGAAGAAGATTCTGGCAGCAATGGTAAATGCCCAGAAAGAAGAGATCATGAAGCAAGCTACTACAGAGCATCTCAACCAGAGCTATGGGTCTACAACGGAAACGACAAACACGACAAGAGTCAGGAGTCAAGTGGGAGAAGGGCTGGTGATGCATCAAACATGAAGTGAAGAGGGAGGAATCAAGAATTCCTCACGTGCAAAATGAAGGTAAAAAAAAGAGATGATTAAGTACTTAAGTGAACTAATACGCGGACTGAATGAAATAACATATGCTAAGTGCTTAGCAGAGTACTTGGCACACAGAGTTTTAATTTACTAAAAAATCAAGTTTTCAAGATTGGGCAAAAGAGGGACAAGTTTGGGGGTAGGAAATAAGTCTGGCTTTAAATATGTTGAGTTCAAGGCCTTCGCAAAAACATTTAGAGCTGTGCTGTCCAAGAAATATAGGGCAGGCCACAGGTGTAATTTAAAACTTTCTAGGAGCCACGTCGCAAAAGTAAAAAGAAAAAGGTAAAATTAATCTTTTTTTTAGATTTTATTTATTTGCGAGAGAGAGAATGAGAGAGAGAGCATGAGAGGGAGGAGGGTCAGAGGGAGAAGCAGACTCCCCGCTGAGCGGGGAGCCCGATGTGGGACTCGATCTCAGGACTCCAGGATGATGACCTGAGCCGAAGGCAGTCGCTTAACTGACTGAGCCACCCAGGCGCCCAGAAAAAGGTAAAATTAATCTTAATAACATATTTTACTTAACACGTATTTGTCATTTCAACATTTAACCAATAAAAAATTATTGAGATATTTTATATTCTTTTTTTCATACTGAGTCTCCCAAACCCAGTGTGTATTTTACACTAACAACACATCTCAATTCGGACTAGCCCGCTTTCACAGGCTCCAGAGCTCGATGCAGCTAGTGGCTATGGCACTGGACAGCCTAAGTCCAGAAGGGGATAGAAACAGATCTGGGTTAACAGTATTTGCATGGCAGCTGAAGCCTTAGGCTTGGTGCTGACGAGATTATGAATGAGAACATGGAAGGGAGCAGGCCAACGAAGATGCCCAAGCAGCACAACAGGTAGGCTCTGGCAGAAGAGTCAGCAAAACAAGCGGGGGAAAATGATCAGCAAAGTAGAAAAGTCAGGAAAGAGCTGTACCTTGAAGCAAAAGAAAAAAATTCCAGGGCGGAAGTGAAGACGAGTATTTAGTAAGATGAGAAAGGAAAAGAGACGAGTGGATTAGGCAAGTAAAATTTCCAAGGGGCCCCAGCATGGCGGGCATTAGAATCCGACAGGCCTGATTTCAGTCTCAGCTCTGCCACCTGCTCCTCCACTCGGCTGTGAATATTTACAGAGAGAAAGGGACAGTGGACAAAATAAAAGAGAGGAACACTCATGGTGCCAAGTCCCAGGGGTGGCTACAAACAATCGAGATTAGCACTGGAAGAAAGCAGGATCACTTATTTCACGAATAAGCCAGCCATAGGGACGGCCAGGTATCTGAGGCTGCTCTGGGGAAGAGGAAGGGAAGCTTGAAAGTGTCTCTTTGCTCATGAGTTTAGGAGGCCAGGGAGTCGAGCAAGAGTAGGGTCGTACCCAAGGAGATAAGGAAGCGGGCAAAGCCCTGGAAGCTGGGGGAGAGTGAGAGAAGTAATAACTATTGATAAAATAATAACTATTGATGAGCAAATGAAGGGAAAGCATCATTAATGCTGAAGTCCATTGTTTGGTAATGGAGTCCCTCAAGAGCAATTTTTGTTTTCTTTAGCAGTGGAAACAGAGATGAGACAGTCGTGTGGATTTAAGATTGAGAACTGGCAGGGTGCATGAGGCAAGAGTAAAAGGGTGGGAGAACTGACTGTTACTTTTTTGGTAAAGAGCAGAAACCGTGACTAACAGATATCTAATAGGCCACAGAGAAATTAATTATATACGACCTCTTCTTTTCCTGAACTCTTCGAGAATAAGTTACCGAGATCATGATTCTTACAAACAAGAAAATTCTGCCCTATAATCAAAATACAACTATCAAAATCAGAAAATTACATTTATATGTTACCACCGCCTAATCCTCAGACCCCATTCAGTTTTGCCACTTATGCCCAAGAATGTCCTTGACAGCAGAAGGATCAGTCCAGACTCATGCCTTTACTTGTCATGGCTCTGGTCTTCCTCAGACTGGAATAATTCTTCTGGTTTTTCTACAACGTTCATGACCTTGACCCTCGGGAAGATTACGGGCCATCTGGTTGTACAATCCCTTAATTTCGCTTTGCCTGTCTGATGATCCCACCGATCGGATTCAGGTGCCATGGTCCTGGTAGGAATACCACAGAAGTGATACTCTCCTGTTTCCACCGCGCCCTGTCAGGTGGCACACAAATTCTGATTTGTCCCACTACTCATGTAATCATTTGATAAGGTAGTGTGTCTGCTCGACTTCTTCACTGCAAAACTAACCCTTCCCCCTCTATAATTAATAAGTATTTTGTGGGGAGCTGCTTTGTGACTATGCGAGTATCCTTTCTAATCAAATTGTTTCTTGATTACAGCATGAAGTTATAGATTTCTATTTCACTCAATGGGTATGACCCCTTACTATCATTATTTATTTTGATACTCCAAGTGTCTCCAATATGGCAAGAAGGAGCTCTTTTAAGCTGACATTTATGTCCTTTGGACACTCTTTCTTTAAATAATTCCTTTCTGGCTACAAAATGTTCCAGGCTCACCTTGTACTTTCCCTTGCTGCATCCTGAAACTGGCCATTTCTGCAAGGATCCCTGACTACTCTTAGCAGAGCGTGGTATTTAGAACAGAACTGGGCACTGGGTGTATTCACTGCGACTGGGGTGTTGTTGCTCCCAGGTCCTATAAGTGCACAAAACTAGGAAACATATGTACCTATAATGCATTCATTCACTCACATACTTCTATTTATTTCTATGTCTATATATTCAAAACCCGCTGTGCACTCAGATATATCCAATTCCAATCCAGTACCCCTGGGTTTGTTCTCGTTTTCTGCCTTTCCATATTTGTAACTCCCCTTTCCAATCGTTAGAAACCTGGCCCCCATTATCCTCAACATATTTACTCACTTGATCAAAGTCTCCGGTGTTTCCCATGACTGCCCCATCCCCCACACAGACACCTCCTGACTGCCAGGCGGACATGGTTCTCCCTCCCACCTACCCCCACTGCATGGATGACTCCCTCCGTCAATCCCACCTAACTGCTTCTGTACGAAACTGTTCAGCAAAGGAAGAGGAAGCAGACGAGTGAGGATCAATTCTTTAAAACTGCTAGATGTGTAAACTGAAACAATAATATACAAAGGAAATTATGCTCTTTCTAAATCACCCGATGAAGTACCAGACACTGATAAGTGAGCAAGAGTAAATTTTTAAATTTAAGGAAAAACAAGCTACTAGAGATACTGCGCAAACTGGAACTTGAATTCTCTAAAAAAAATCTAACCATATTTTCTATGCTTTCCCACTTTCTTCCGTCAGCATTTATGAGTGTTTCACAAGGTACCTGAAATATAGTAAGAACTTGATGAATCTTGCTGAATGAATAATTAATAAGAGGTACTAAAATTGGCAGTAAATGACTTGTTAAATACGATATATATCAAAGGTATCTGCTCACCTGTTTCCATACAAGTCAAAAACATAGATATTTCCTTGATGGTCCCCAGCAATTACGCAATCACCTGAGCTATCAAAAGCCACATTCAAAAATCGCAAGACTTTGGGAAGGTAGTCAGAAGTGCTGTGAATGATGTTCACTATAATCCTGTCAGAAGCAAACAAACAAACAATATATTTAATTCTAGGTCAAGCATTACTTATTATGAAAAATACGGCTTTTATAGTGTACTTCACTAATTTTGAAGTTTCCTGCTACCCGTTCTTCCCTCTCCTGCTACTCTTCTAGAAGCAATCCCAGTGATTTCTGAAAGCAGTTGAGAAAGTTATTCATTATCAAAGTAGGCTACTGTGCATATATTCATCAAATACTTGAAAACTCACTATGTGTCCACACGCTGAGCAAGCTGGGGCCTGAAAGTAACTGACAGACACAGGCCCTGCCCTCAGCGAACTTTCAGTGTAGTGGAGAAGACAGATATTAAAGAAACAAGCACACATATGAACAGATTCATAAACTGTGACTAAGTGATAGATAAAAACAAGATAAAAGAGGATGTATTTTTGATTTAGTCAAATTGTTACATGAAGCAATAAACACATGCGAAAGTGACAAGTAGTTTTATGTAAATCACAAGCCACCACATGTAAGAAAAGTTTCAATTCAATATCTTAATTTTAAGATAGCTTAATGAAATTTTGTAATATAAAGTGTTCCAAAGTGAATTAAGTGTACATGAGCTCTATTTTCAGCTCTACAAGTCTAAAGTTACTATTTTTTTGAGAAGATCACGTACCATGTATCTGTTGAAAAGAAACCTGTTAGAAAACTTGCAGCACAGAATAACTAACTTCTTAAAATAATTTATATGTGCCTATTCAGGTCACGAAGATCAGAATAATCCCCTTCTTTGTTGCGACAGTAGTTTTCAAATCATGAACATTTTTATCTTAATTGACTTTTTGTGAGTTTCTGAACTCCAATCTTAGAAACACTTATCTTCCCCATTATCACTGCATTAAAAAATACTACACCGAATTAAGTGTATTAAACATTTTCTTCAGTTTAAACTTAAGGCTTTTCATTGGGTGAAACAGCAAAATTCTTACGATACTTATGTTTATCAAGTCCCTGACAAAGATGCTTTAGTCTGGCTCCTGAACCTTCTCAGAGGCACTTCATTTGTGCGCTTCCTTGTAAAATCTAATTTTAGCATGAACTCTGCTCAGTCTGTTTAATTAGAACCCCTGATCATCCGTGATAACTGGTCAGTTTCTCATTCTTCACCATCTTCCAGTTGACATCTAATCACCCTGGCCTGTCTTCAGCAACAATCTCTTTAGGTTGGTTTACCCAGAACTCCCTTATCCTAGATGTTTCCTCTTAGTGATTTTCCATCCACTGCCTCCCACCCTGCTCCTTGGTGGTACATCCCCACTTGCCCAGGCTGTATCCAGAGCTGAGCCTAGTGTTATACTGAAGTCTCCTTTCCTCTATTGAAATAGAGGAATAAAATCTGTTTTTACCACTTTAACTACTGTCAAGCTCTGGTTTTCCTTTGACATCCCCAAAGGGGAGAGGGGGAGAATAAATATATTGAAATGAATAATAATATCAAAATGTTCCCCGGCAGTTAAAATCAGACAGAGTGAAGGACTTTTCCCTCAGCTCTTGTTTCTGTAACATTTACTATGTGTTTGGATTACAAAATTATTCATGATCATTGTTCAAAATAAGGAAAGTATGGAAAAACACTAATAAATAAAACTGATTATAACCCTACCATCTAAATAATAATCACTATAATAGCAACATCCTGCCCCTCTGATTTCACATAATGCACACATATCAGCATTTATTCTAGAACAACTGCCTTTCAATTGCTCACAGGCTGTCTGACAGTTCCTCAGTCCTTAAACATAATTTAAAAATCAAATATTTACCGAACACCAAGATGCATGAGACACTATTTTAAAGTCTTTATAATGCCCTAAGACAACCCTGTCTGGCAGGCATGATTATCTTCACCTACAGTCTTAGTGATTAACTTGCCCAAGGTCACAGAACTAGTAAATGGACATTTACTTCAACTAAAGTCCATCTGACTCCTTGGTCTATGCCCCTTGCCTCTCAACACCACAACAATGGGTTTTGATGAACAGAAAAAAAGCCATGGTTTAGTGGGAGCAAATAACATTTGCATAAAACTCGTTTCTTTCCTTTTTTGAATCTTGCATGTATATCTGGATATTTTATAACAGCAAGAAATAGAATTACTGTGGGTTGGCAATAACTTTCAGAACATTTCGAGAACATAAGTAGGGGTAGTATTTACATAAACTCCAAGTTTGGAAATGAAAATCCCTACTGAAGAATCCCTACTCTAAACAGAATTTTTTATTCAATAGAGTTGATGGGACAGCAGCATTGCTAAGGGGCTGACGGCAACCAGAAACCAAACAAGCTGTTAACAACGTCCAGCCGGGTGGTTCAAGCAAGCATAGCTGGCACTTGAAGTCTGTTGATTTGTTGAGAAGCAACCAAAGGATCAACAGAAAAATTACCAGGAACAGAAACATGAATTCAAGTGATGCAGCAAAGGCCATGAAATCTTAGGAAATTAAAAGCAATAGCATCGGTCTGTGTGCAGCAAATGGAAGCAAGATGGCACCACTTGGGGCAAAGGTTTCCACTGAAGTCTTGAGTGGCTAAGACTCAAACAGGTCAGGTATCTGGGATCAGAATGAAAAGAAGAGCTGGGGAGGGAGGGAAAAACAGGCAGAGCACAGAAGACTTTTAGGGCAGTGAAAATACTTTGTATGATACTATAATGGTGTATATATGTCATTGTACATTTGCCCAAACCCACAGAACACACAACACCAAAGTGAATCCCAGCATCAACTGCGGACTTCGGGTGATGATGCTGTGTCAATGCAGATTCATCAGCTGCAATAAAAACACCTCTCTGATGGGGGATACTGCTAATGGGGAGGCTATGCATGTGTGAGTGCAGGGGGGTATATGGGAAAATCTCTGTCCCTTGCTCTCAATTTGGCTGTGAACCTAAAGCTGTCCTAAAAAAAAAAAAAAAGAAGTCTATTTAAAAACAAACAAAAGCAACCAGCAGCAGCAGCAGCGCTGGCCTTACTAGAAGGGCCACCTTGCACTGTAGGATGTAACCCCCTGTCGTCACCGCCATACACGCTAACGTGTAAACGCCACAAAACCGGCAGTTTTTGTTCCACTGCTGTCCCCCAGAGCTTAGAAGCTTGGCACAGAGTAGGTGCTCAACCAACAGTTGATGGATGCATGCTTGTCTGAATATAAACGATGATTTAAGATGGATAATTTGCAGCATTCGGAAGGGGTAGACGTGCACTGTTCCCCTGTCCCTGCATCGTTCGTCCTGAGTTCTTTTCCAGCTGCAATCGTTAACAAATATTTGCTGAGCATCCACTGTGCGCCGGGAATGCGACAGGGCTCCTACGATAATTCAGGCAGGCAGCGCCCTGGTACAAATGCTCGCGCGCTCCTCGCCGACCCCCGGCCCACGACCGGGAAGGGGTCTCTGACGACCTCTGCGTCCGGAGCACAGCAGGACTCAGGCTACCTGCCTTTCAAGAGGTCATCCGGGCCAGGGATCCGGGGCAGGTCAGAGGCCGAGCCCGAACCTCCACCCGGCCCGGCCCCCTGCACCCCTTCCCGAAACCCTCCCCAACAGCGCCTCCAACGCCTCTGCAAGGACGCAGACCCGCCCCTCGCCGGCCTCCAGGCCCGTCCGCAGCCCGCCGCCTTTACCCGTCCCGAGCGGCCGGGGAGGGCTTGCGGTGCCACAGCTTGCCGCTCTCCTTGTTGCCCAGGTCTGTGCTCTGCATGGCGAGGCCCACTCGCGGCAGCCGCCGCCGCCGCCGCCGCCGCCGCCGCCGGGCGCACAACCGACCCGGCGCCTTCCCGGTAGGCCCCGCGCTCCCGCCCGGGAAATTTAAGCTCCCGACCCGGGAGATTTGAGCTCCCGCCCCGGCGTCCGGGATCCCCGCGACGCGACCATCCGCGCCCTGGAAGCCGACCTTTCTATTCACAGCCAATAGGGAGGCGGTTTTCCTCCCAACTCCGCCCAGGCGACCCCTACAGCTCCGGGCAGTGGAACCGGCCAACGACCTTCTCTCAGACTCCGCCCCTTTTAGAGATCCACCCCCCATCCGGGGCCCAAAGCCTTCTGGGAATCGTAGTTTTCTGCAGGTGGCACAGGGCGCCGGAATCCGCGAGAGAATTCTGCACTTTTGGGGCCTCGCGGGGTTTTAGGCTCCCCACCGAGGCAATAAAAGTGGTTTTCGCCTGCGGTCCCTGCGTTCCTTTCTACAGTGCGTTTAGGGATTAAGGGTTGTAGAGACAACTATTAGAGAAGGACCCAAATACATCGAGAATTGAAGGGTTCCTTTTATAGAGCATTCGGGCTTAAAAAGAACCTCTGCAGAGTCCATTTTTCTTGTCCTTTTCACCATCGTGATTCTTTTTTCAATTGTAATCTAACAAGAGGCGCCAGTATCATGGTGTCCAGTCCACCAGTCGGGGACCAGAAAAGCAAAATGTCATCAGCAACCAGTTGCGCTGACATGAGAGTTCCTTTTTGTAAAAATTCACTTAGCACTTCTCTCGTGCCTGCCAGGTATCAAGCGTTCTTCTAAGTGCTTTACGAATATTAATCCATTTAATTCTCATAGCAAACCTACAGTGTTGGTAGTACTATTATTCTCATTTTTTGTGTTCTGTGAGGTAGTTTATTGGTTTCCTGAGGCTGCAGGAATAAATTACCACAAACTTGGTGAAGAAGAAGAAGGAGGAGGAGGAGGAGGGGAAGGAGAAGAAGAAGAAGAAGAAAGAAGAAGGAGAAGGAGAAGGAGAAGGAGAAGAAGAAGAAGAAGAAGAAAGAAAGAAGAAAGGAGTTATTCTCTCATAGTTCTGGAGGCCAGAGTCAGAAATCAAGATGGGGGCGCCTGGGTGGCTCAGTCGTTTAGGTCTGCCTTCGGCTCAGGTCATGATCCCAGGGTCCTGGGTTCGAGCCCCGCATCGGGCTCCCTGCTCCGCAGGAGGCCTGCTTCTCCCTCTCCCGCTCCCCCTGCTTGTGTTCCCTCTCTCGCTGTGTCTCTCTCTGTCAAATAAATAAATAAAATCTTAAAAAAAAAGAAAAAAAGAAAAAAGAAATCAAGATGTTGGCAGAGCCGCTCCCTCCAGAGGCTCTAGGGAGGGTTCCATTCCTTGCCTTTTCCAGCTGGTGACCTCCTTGACTTGGGACCACATCATTCCCTTCCAACCCTCCATTCTCGGCCTCCATCTTCACATTGCCTTCTCTTTCCCACCTCTGTCTCAAATCTCTCTTATAAGAACACCTGTCATTGGACTTAGGGCCCTCCCGGGTATTCCAGGATGATCTCCTTATTCCAAGATTCTTAACTTAATTACACCGGCAAAGACTATTTTCTAAATAAGGTAACATTCACATGTTCTGGGGATTAGGTCGTGGATATACATTTTGGGGGGCCACTGTTCAACCTACTACAGGTAGGTACTTCTTTCATTCCCGTTTTGCAGACAAGGAATTGAGTTAGTAGGGGAGCCAGGATTAGATTTTTAGTCTTTTCATTCTTAGTCTCCATGTTTTTCTACAACAGAAAAATGAGTTTTTACAAAATTATAAAGCCATGAAAAAAGCCAGTTTGAAAAGCTCAAACTCTACCAAAAAAACAAAACTCTCACAAAAATTTACCAATGCAGATTTTATTTTTTATTTTTTTTAAAGATTTTATTTATTTAAGAGAGCGGCAGGCAGAGGGAGAAGCAGGCTCCCCACCAAGCAGGGAGCCCCATGCGGGACTTGATCCCAGAACCCTGGGATCATGACCCGAGCTGAAGGCAGACACTTAACCATCTGAGCCACCCAGGCGCCCCTCAAGGCAGACTTTAAAACTTTTTGTGTTGTTACCGAGGGGTGGCTCTGAGCGACCACACAACTTTTCATAACCTGTTGCAGAAGAGAGCATCACGTTCCTCATTTTTATTTATAGGAATTGAGATGATAATAAATTATGCATGTGAATGTTTGCATTTTTAGTCAGGAAACTTAGGGTGTTAGGCTTATGGGCGCTTAACTTGAAACACGGGTTATTTCTCACATTTCTATCCCACGCAGGTAACCAAGCAACATTTTTATCAGTAGCAGAGACAAACATGCTGAATGATTTCCTTAACTACTTTGGTTTAACCTGCCTGCAGGTCGGCTTGTATGGGCTGTCACAGCCCATGTGACCATCCTATTCAATTTCAGGTATGTGATAAAGACGTTTCCATATTACAGATCTTCTGGGCGCCCACTTTGCACTTATCTTTGGATTGAATTTGGGCCAGATCTGAAGGTCAGGCTGGCGACTGAAGAGACATGCCCCCAGTGGCTGTCAGCCTTCTCCTTATTATAATTTCCCAATGTTTATAACCCAAGTTGGTAGACCATTTGCTAGTTCCTTCCTGAATCATTACTCGATCAATAACTGATGCATCGTATAAATATATTTTTTCAGCCTAACTGAGGTGTAATTGATATCAATAAACTTCATGTATTTAGACTGTATAATTTTATGATTTGACATAAATATACTCTTATGAAGCTATCATCATAATCAAGATCATGAACATATCCATCACCCCTGAAAGTTTCCTCCTGCCTGTTTGTAATTCATTCTCTTTCTATCCGCACCCCATCTTGCCTGCAGGCAACCACTAATCTGCTTTCTGTCTCACAGTTAATTTTTTCTAGAAATTTATATAAATAGGTCCTAAACTATGTACTCTTTTTTTTTTTTCTTTTGGCCTGGCTACTTTCACTCAGCATAATTATTTTGAGAATCAACTATATTGTTGGGTATATCAACAGGTCATATGTTCTTATTGTTGAGTGGTATTTCATGGTATTGATATACCACAATTAATGTATCCATTCACCTTTGATGAACATTTGATTTGGATTGTTTCCAGTTTGGGGTTATTACAAAGACAGCTGTTATGAACATTCCTGTACAAGTCTTCGTGTAAACATATGTTTTCAGTTCTGTTGGGTAAATTCTTAGAAGTGGAATGGCCGGGCCATATATGGTAAATAGAGACTTAACTTTTTAAGGAAGTGTCAAATGTTTTCAGAGTAGTTGTGTCATTTTGCATCCCCACCAACAGTGTAGGATAGTTCCAGGCACTCCATATCTATGATGAGTCTTTGTGATTACAGCCATACTAGGAGTGTTGTGGTACTTCACGGTGATTTTAATTGCCCTTTCCAGAATGACAAATGATATGTTCAGCATCTTTTCATGTGATCATTTGCTTTCTGCATATATCTTGGGTGAAGTATCTGTTCAAATATTTTATCCAGTGTTTAATTGGGCTGTTTTTTTCTTATTGAGTTTTGAGAGTTCTTTACATATTCTGGATCTAAGCCCTTTATCATATATGCGCTTTGCATATATTTTCTCCCCGTTTGTGGCTTGTTTTTTCGTTCTCTTAACAATATCTTTCAATGAGTAGATGTTATTAATGTTGATGAAGATCAACCCAACAGTGTTTTCTTTTATAAATTGTGTGTTTGGTGTCATGTCTAAGAAATCTTTACTTAATCCAAGGTCACAAAGATTTTATCCTGTTTTCTTCTTTATATATATTTCAAATACATCCTCAGAGTGAACAGAAAGTTATGTGTGTCCAAGGGATTTTAGGGAGTTGCTTTGCTAAGTCCTTTCTCCTTGCCCTCTTGCCTATCCCACTTCCACCACTGTGGGATGCTTTCTTTTTTGCAGTGATAATCTATAATCTGGAGAGAGAAGAAGCACTTCCACTTTGCCTACTTTGTTAGAGGGTATTTAGTGGACATTTGGATTGCTCAACATCTGAAAACCCTTTCTGTTTGGGAAAAATCCCAATATATTTAGAAGGTAAAGGGCAGCTCTTCCCTGGCACCCAGTTCTCTAACACCCCCAAACCTAGGCCAATCAAGGAGTGAGCAAGCAAATCAAACCAGTATGGTAACCGAAGACAACTGAAAATACAATTCAAATATTTACTGCAGTCTCTCAAAGAGCATCAAGTAGAAGCAATTAATAACCTTTAGCAAATTTCTTCAAATACACTTTTTCACCTCATTGAGTTAGGTTAAACTAAGTTATGCCACAATAACTAAGAACTCCAAAACTCAGTGGCTTAAAACAACTCAGCAGCTTGTGTTGCTCATCTTAGTCTCTAGGGGAACCGGGCTGATGGAGTAGCCAACATTTCAAAAGTTTTTGGTTGCTGTCCAGGGGAAAGAGAGTTCTAAAGGGTCTCATACCAGCAATTAAATGCTGTAGCCCAGAAATGTCACTATAACTTTTACTCCCAGTTCACTACCAGACCTAAGGCTCCATCCAAACACAAGGGGCCGGGAAGTACAATAGGACTAAATTAGTTATCTGTAGCTGCAATATTGCTGTGAAAAAGCAACCACCAAAACTCTGTGCTATTCAACCATGAGCATTTACTGCTCACACATCTGGGATCAGCCAGACTGTTACTGCAGCATAAAGTAGCCCATCCTGACTAGTAGAGTAATTTTGTCCCCATTTTACAAATGAGGGAACAAGGTTTGGCGTGCTTATTTACTTGTCTAAGGTCATGTAGCTATTGAGGCAAGAGTCAAATGTTGGGGTACCTGGCTGGCTCAGTCGGAACAGCATGCAATTCTTGATCTCGGGGTTGCAAGTTTAAGCCTCACATTGGGCACAGAGATTACTAAAAATAAATAAATAAATAAATAAATAAATAAATAAATAAACCCATAAAATAAAACTAAACAAATGTAGACCTATCTGGCTCCATTATCTCACTGCCTTTCCTGCACCAGATTAGTGTGGTTGTGAATTCTTCCAAAAGACCTATCGCCTGGACCAGAAAATAATTTATTGCTAGTCTGGGTTAAAGAATCTCTGGGAACTTTTGTAACAAGATTCTGTTTTATATCCTTGGAAAAAGGTTTTATTTGC